TATATATATATATATATATATATATATATATATATATATATATATATATATATATATATATATAGAGAGAGAGAGAGAGAGAGAGAGAGAGCAGTTTCTAAAAGCAATAAAGCTTGAATATTGCTTTCTTATCTGTTATTTGGCTTGGACAGAGGTGTTTGCTAAATGAGCAAATGAAAAACGAACTGAGTTTGTACATTGCTGTTGGAAGGTGACAAAAATCGGGCCTTTTAATCACTCTTCTCTCTCTCTTATCTCATTATTGTAAATTGTGTTTAGGATAAATTAGAGCAAAAATAAGTCAAATTATGTGATGCTGTTGAGGTGACCCAGTGTCTGTTTCCAACCAGAGTCCTTCGAGGTGGTGGTGAGAGGAAATGGATTCCTACACACCCGAAACGTTGACCGAGTCCTGTGCAGCTTCCGGATTAATGACACCTTGACCAAGAGTAAGTGAAAATCAACCTGACAAAAAGTTCCTTAAGAGATCTTTGAGAGAACGCACGAACTAAGGGTATCAAAGTTGAGGACTTTTTTTAAGGAAGAAAATCTGTCAGGGGGTCATCAGAGTGAGTTGAGTCAGCTGCACAGCTGGAATCGTGCAGCCATTGTGGCGCTACTGTTATTATGGCCTTTTAAAACAGCATATTGTGTTGGGACTGCTTGGGGGGGAAACACAAAGGCGGAGTTAAAAGACAAGCAGCGCCACACAGAAAGCAGACAAAGATAAAAGGAAAGATACAACACACACACACACCTCCCCCAGCTCTTTACTGGCATTTTGCTCAAACAGTTGGTAAAAAAACCTCATGCTTAATGTTAATTAAGTGGGAGGTGTTTTACACCTCTTGCAACATACAACTTCCTCCAGGGTGTGGTCAGGGAAGCAATTTGAGTAGAATTATCTCCCCCGGAACATCCGTTATTCACGTGAAGTCGTTCACTTCCTAAGACTGTTAGCAGTGAATATTCAGGAATATGTTTCTTCCCTGATAGGAGCCACACTTGATAGGGCCAAATACGTTTAGCCCAAAGATGATGCATACCCTTATTACAAAACCTTCCTTGCCTGGTCAACTCCTCAGCTCCAGCCCTCTGCATACTTTGCAGATAGGGTCAAATGGTAGGAAGGATGCAACTACATGTGTTAAGCAGATGAATCCGTGTTTCAGTTTGTGTCTCCAGGAAAAAAGTAGCTGCAAGTAAATGGAGGCGCACATGGCCTTGGCAAGTCTCGTCCTGAGGTATTCGCTGTGATATGGCAGATGTTACAGTGGACAACTGGGTGTAAAAACTGTAAGACAAGACTTGAGGAGGAACTGTTCTGTTTCTGCTTTTCTTGCTAAGGATCAGCTGTCAATATCCAAACGACTCACACAACTAACACACACAACAGCAAAGTCTATCTTCAGCTCCACATAACTAATAAGAATCACCCTTTTGCCATTATGTGGTTTATCAAACATGCAATTACATGAATTAAGAGAAGAAAGGGCAAAGCTGCTTGTTTTCAGCCTTATCCTCTGGGTGTACATGTCTTCTGTAAGGAGACGCCTCAAATATTGACAATATTAACGTAAGCTTTTTTCCACATCACGCTTTTTTGGGGGGTGAGAAAACAGACATTTCTCCCACTACAGAATATGAGCAACTTGCTGGTGGTAAATCCCAACAGTAGGCTCCCACAGTGCTCATATATGTCTTCCTCTTAAGCAATATTGTTGCTTAGTTTGATGGTAGAAGCTGTTCTGTGGGCACATGTCAGTGATTCCCAGAAACACAGGACCGCGCTTGTTGGTTTAGAAATAAATATTCCAATAAAACAAGACATGGACTAATGATTTTTGACTGTGTTTTTATCCTCAATGGATCTTATGGAAATAGGAACGACAGAATAGAATTGTTATGGTTTGTCCTGCTCTCCGAATGTGTTTGTCAAGGGCATGGACTATTCAGAGATGCACTCCAATATCTGGCTTGTTTGTCCTGGCATGGAGCCTTTTCTTTCTGGCAATGCTGGTCAACTCCATCCCCATCGCCCTCCTCCCTTCTACGCTTTTTTGTGTCTGTAGGAGAGGGCAGGAGTTTATGTTGATTTCCTAAGTCCTGGGGTATGCCTTCTCCCTGCCAGAATAAGCAGTGGACTTGGGTGACGATGCTTAGTGGAGCCACGTTTCCCTAACAACCAGCTGGACACAGAGAAAACCTCGACTGTAGCACAAAAATTGTGGTGGAATGGTTTGCCCTGGCATCCCGGAGAGGGACAAAGATGTATCTCGATGACAGATAACAAAACTCTCTTCTTTTACTTTATTAGTAACATTTCAGAGAGCAGTGGGACGTCTTTTAACTGTCTGGCTCCCCCCGTCTTGTTGTTTAGCAGTCGTGAGTCAGAAGTCAAGACTGAGTGTAATCAGGCTACATAATGATCTGAGGGGCGATTGCGGTTATGACCTCCTGGCTCAGGAACTTTGGATGCCAGTGACTACCAGGAGGTCGGTTTTATAAAGTCTGTTGACCCTTTGCACTCTACCTCCCCAGTGATGAAGCCTTTGGTTGTGGAGGACACATATCTTCTCTGCCCTGCACCAGTGCTTCAGGATGAGGGAATGTAAGTCCTGGAATTGATCCATCGTGAGGTTTCACATGACTCTATCCACTCTTCCTTTTAAAGGGACCTCATAGTGGGAGCATGGACTGACATTTTTTCCTCTTCTGCAGGGCTGCGAACCTCTATGTCAGCATGAACGAGGGTCTCAGTTTCGTCTCCAGCTCAGTCACCATCACCACTGTGAGCTGTGTGAGTAGAGTTGACTCTATCAGTGTGAAAATAAACAACAGATAAAAAGAGAAAGACTTTCTAATTGTTAGTCCGGAACTAGTTCAAGCGTTTTTGCTTGAAGCAGAACCTGTTGGAAAATAGAGGCATGAGAGCTTCTTCCCAGGTCAAAGGATTTAGCCAAGAGAAGTGGTTTACACTTAGCATATTCAGAGAATGTGTGATGATAAATCTGTCTCCGTTATAGTCTGATGGGACTATCCTGGCCATAGCTCTGCTCATCCTCATGCTTCTTCTGGTCTTGGCTCTCCTCTGGTGGTTCTGGCCTCTTTGCTGTACTGTGGTGAGTCCTCTGAAGGGCCTTTTCTTTTCTTTTCTTTCTTTTTTTTGCTATGTGGATAAAACTAGGTTAAAGAAATCTTTGTTACTTCATCAAATGATCCCAATACTGAAAAAAAGGCAGAATTTCTTTTCGCCAAAGTTTCACTAAAATGAGATATTTCAATAACATTCTTTGTGGAAAAACACTCAAGATGGTTCAGGTTCCTGTTTTCATTTTTATTGACCTTAACAATACTTGCATGGCGAGAAGGTTAGAGTCCGAGAGTCAATATGGAGCCCTGAAGCTGAATTTAGTCTTCAACCAGAGAAGGTCAAGGTTTATAGGCGAACAGGAGTTTAAGTAATTACGCTGCTGTTGAAATAATTAGGGTTTCAGAGGTCATGCCATGTGACCTCCAAGGTTCCCTGACTCCTGTGAGTTCACAAGAAGAGCAAATACAAGTTTTTCCATCGGCATCTATGAATACATTGATTTTCCAGCGAGTAGTTTGAAAACAGGAACCCACATTTACATACAATTGTTTTGTTTTAGAACTTTTGAAAGTTAAACATTTATACATCATAATTCAATTATATTTAAAACCAAGTGAGTATCATCTGCTCTGGATAGAGTCAAAAAAGAAAATGCCTTTGAGAAAAACATCTCACATAGTTTCAGTCCTGGTCCAACAGCTGGCGCAACAAATACTCAAAAAGAAAAATAATCGTTCCTTACCACAACCCCCCATTAAGAATATTGTTTATTTCCTATTTGAATGAGTGTCATGATGCCTCAGCAAATTTTAAGTGAACTCTTTCCAGCACTTTAAATGGAAAAGTTCAGAATTGCCAAAAAGCGTCACCTTTTACAGCACACTTCCTGTTCTGGCTCGTTTACTTGCAAATTCAAGTTTGAGCAGCATTTTTACTGAAGAATGATACTGTTACCACAGAGAATGTGACCCCGGATTAGCAGAAGCAAGCCAGAATAAAAAAAACATACAGACAACTCAAAACAATCAGGCTTATTTAACTGTAAGCTGTTTGATGTCTGATTTAAGACCACAGCCCATGAACACACAAATAGGCGTACTAAAGACATATACTGGTCTCATTCAACTTCTTCAGAAAATGGATGATGAATGGGGTAGATGAAGTATTTGTGTTGTATAATTAGTTCAAAATTTATGGGCAACAAGAGGACATAAAGCACACAATACTGTATTTATGAGCCTGTTCGTGCTTAAAAACCTCAGGCAAAAAGTCCTGGATGGCAGGTTTCTAGGTCACAGTTTTTGTAAGTACTGGAGACTGAAGAGCAAAAAACAATTCCTCAGTAATGTGTTGTTGCGTAATGGTCTTTTGTAATGAATAGAAGACACATTTTTCCAGCATGCATATTGTAAAAGAATACTCTATTTTGAAATGTGTTCATTACTTCTGTGGACTTCTGATGACTAACAACAGTTCTTTCTTCCATTCAGATCATCCACGAGCCCCCCCCACCAGCTGTGGAAGAAAGTTCGGTAGGGGCAGCACCTCCTATCTGAGACGTGATTTAAGATTCAATAGCTGCCAGAGTTTAAACTGTGTAATTGCTCAGTTTGCTTTAACAGTTTGAACCTCAGTGACCATGCGTCATTATTCACTCCAACGTAAAACTCTCATCACTGTTCTGGTAATTCATCAAATGTGATCTGAGTCAACGCCCTTAGAGTAACAATGAAATCCTGACTTGACCACCCTATCCTTGCCAAGTTTCTCAGTTTTTCTGACCAAAACGTCCATTCACACATTTCCAATTTCCCAGCTACTTTGATTTTCACTGGGTATATTGCAAAGTTTTATTATTAACATTCATTTTTCTAACAAACAAATCCCAGGGAGGCCGCCTCAGGCAGCAGGAGCCATCATGTGACTTTTATTTGTGCAGCTAATTAAATAGAAAATTAGGTTTACCTAGGCCTCAAAGACCACTTTCAAACTTAATTATGTTTCCCTCTGTAAGATTTCCGGGTGCAATAAGAGACAGACAGGCTTAATTAAAGAGTCGAAAACATCACAAGTCTGGCTGGGCTTGGTAATTTCCTCCAACACAACCCCAGCAGAGACAGGCAGAGGCCCGGGGACTGCGGTGTGCAGACAGACATTTGCATTAGATAACTACCCAGATTTCCAAACTCAGAAAAAAAGGGTTATAATTAAATATGTATAACCCGCTTCCTGTTGCTCTACCATAGGATGAAGAGGACTTTGAAGGGCCAAAGAAGAAGTGGCCTACTGTAGACGCCTCGTACTATGGCGGAAGAGGAGTGGGGGGGATCAAAAGGATGGAGGTTAATTGTTGCTAAGATGTTACACGTTTAGCCCTGGTATTGCTAAAAAAAAGCTTTTCTGTATAATGACCTATTAAAGGCCCAGTGTGGTGGTACAATAAATAGTTGACTAAATTGTGTTTTTAGGTTCGCTGGGGTGAGAAAGGTTCTACCGAAGAAGGAGCAAAGCTGGAAAAAGCCAAAAATGCCAAAGTGAAGATGCCTGATCAGGAGTTTGTGCTGCCTCCCACTCGGGTTCTCAACAATGGCATGCACAAAGCTCCGGGGCCTCGCACATGGTACTCACCCATCAAGGTACAGGATCCGGCAGACGGGAGGAAACGGTCTGGGGGATGCGATTAGTCTGCACAAACACTGTTGACAACAACTGAAAACATACGAAGATGTAGAAACTTTGAGTGTCTCGTATACATAAAAAACAGATGTGGTTTGCGAATATGCATCATTTAACATACAAAAGCATTCATGAATGCAAAATAGCTCATCAGCAACCTTTTTTTCAGCTGTTTGCATGCGTGTTGCATTATAAACAACATCTGTTTTAAGCGGCTTTGTGCCAGTCTGGCTGGGGAGTTGTGGGTAATGGGATTATTAAAATGTCGCACAGAAAGTGGCAGGAGATGCGTTGTGATAATAGTGCTTCGGTGACCGCTGGCAAACAGCCGGTTCAAGAATGGGGTTAAAGGAATGAAGCCTTCCCAGTCAGCAGGGGATTTTTTAATGGAAGCCAGACTCTTGTTGGACTGACCTCCGGGAAGAAAGGCTGCACAGCCAGCACTCTCTGAAGAAAAACAGCTGTGTTATCCTCAAAGTATTTGCTGTTTTTCAAAACTATGAAGAGTCAATTAACAAAAAAATCGGGCTTTTTTGTAAGGCACTTTGAAAAAGCCGTTAGATGTATGAGAACTATAGACACTTTTGAGCAGTTCAACTTATGTGGATGGAACTGTGTTCCTGACTCAGAAAGCTGTTTGTTCATTTAATAACTTTCTTCGTTATAGAATAATTCTGAAAAAAATATATTTTTCTTACTACGAAGGGCAAACTGGATGCATTGTGGGTCCTTTTAAGAAAAGGCTACGACCGTGTATCTGTAATGAGACCTCATCCAGGGGACAAGGTAAGAACACACACACACCTACACACAGATTATCAATAGGCCTGTTTTTCATGAACTGACATCAGACCTTGGCTGTGCATTTGGCATATGACGATTGGTCTTTTGCATCTGAAAATGCTGCGAGTGGACCAGCTGTGGGCAATGAAGTGTGAACGGAGTGCCACATGGAAAAACCTGGGGTGAATTGGGAGCGCAATGTCTGGCTACAGCGCACCGCCACATAGAGACGTCTGACGAAGTCTTTTACAGAGGCCAGTAATAATTCCTTAGAGGCCAGCTGTTGTGGGGAGGTAACAGTGTAATGAAATTTGCAGTTGGCAGCAGATACACAATCCAAGCCTGAGATCTCTGAGAGGGAAAAAAAATGTATAAGGAACCTCTTTATTGGTAATATATGCTAATCCCTCTCTGCAACAGTTTATATCTGCCTGAAATATCAGGGTGACAGAGACAATTGTTGGTTTAAGAATATATTGCTGCACTTTAATAAATGCACCCCTCTATATTTACATTTGCACATTTTGACAATTATTTAGAATAACTTTTGGGTAACATTACTTTACTGTTTTGGTAAAATGTACAACATAATAAATCAATTTCTGCAGTGGATATGAAAACACAGACCTTTTCATACAGTCTTTGGAGGAGAGCGGTACAGAGTAGCACACAGCTGTGTTGACAGTTAAGTCTTTGAAGAATATACAGCTGACTGTACAGAAGAAACAATGCCCATGTGACCGTGACTTATGGATGAGATCATCTTAAGCATTGCCGCTGCAGAAAAGGAATATTAGGAGGCCAGTTTCCATTTATGATTTATTTAAAACCGATTTGGAAGACACCAGACACACTCTGTCTGGCTTATAGTGGAAATGTGCATCGACTTATGCAATAATGGTCGTAAACTGGCTCCATCTGACGTGATGGCTCAGATATATACAGGTTGTTTTAAAGGCAAGCTGTAAATTCAATAGCTCAAATAGTTAAAAAATATGATATAACAGTAATTCATAGATTTTATACACCCAGTAGACAAAAAATATAATATTCAAACTGTAGCTGCATCAAAAATACAATGTAACTGGATTCCAGGAGACTTGAGAGTACGAATTGCCAAGGATTTACAAAGGGTCAGAAAAGGTTTCTCCATTTTTTATCTGTGCAAAATGTAAATGATAATAAGCAGGTCAGGTTTTGTTTCAGATTTAATTTAGCCATTACATGGAATGTGAGGCAAAACTGTCATTCCTTATCAGCACATAGAAACTCTCTGCTCCAGTCAGAGCAGCTGCTCCAGGGGTGTAACTTGTTTTTGGAATATAGTCTGCTCTCTTTAACATGATCTCACTTTGAGTAAGGAAAAGTGACAGAAGGCGTCCAGATCAGTTGTTCCACAGGTGCTTATCACCACTATAAACTATGGCACTTCTATCCAAAAAGTGCTTCAGAATTGTTGTGCAGTCATCACGTTGTTATACAGAGAAGATATTTTATTAGTATAACAAGAAACATCTGTCAATGTCAAAGTTCAAAATTGAATAAAAAAACAAAAAACAAGCTTCACACACTGGCCCTTCTGTCCTCATTCTTGTACACACAAATCACAGTTTATATGACTGGGATGCTTGTGGAATGAGTTTCTTTTGAAAGGGTTGATCCAGTATTTCTTCTGAAGAAAGGCAGTGATAAAGAAGCCCTGATAGTCTCCTCCAGCATATTTACAAAATCCAACACGCTCTCTTTTTGGTTTTTGGGTCATTTCTTTGGGTGAGGAATTTTCCTAAGCAGAGAGGACTACTGGATCCGACAAATGGTTTGGAGCTAGAGCCTTTACACACTAAAATAGTATTTTAAAAAAAGCAGAAAAATAGCCATTTTATTTAAATGATTAAAATACCACTGCTGACAAAAAGTTGTCTCCTTTGAATTCTCAGGGGAGATGTATGAACTTCACCCGTATAAAGTCTCCCCCTCGCTACCCGCACTTCCACCATCAGACGCCTCCCATCTACACCGCCTCCGGCAGGAGTCCAGCACCCCCCCAGGCCACCCTGCCGCCCAGCCCCAGCAGCCCGCCGCCGTTCCCCTTCTCCACGCTTCCATCGCTGCCTTCAACGCCCTCCACCTGCACCACTCCATCCCCCCCCGTCCCCCCCCCGCCTTACACGCCACCTCCCAACCGGGCTCTGCCCCCACCCAGCCTCTACATACCCGCTCCGGCCGAGCTCCCGCCCACCCCTCCACCCAGCGCCTCTCCCTCCGGCCCTCTGCCTCCTCCCCCACAGGCCCCCCCCCCTGGACGAGCACCTCCACCTGCCCGCCCTCCCCCTCGCCCTGGTTTGTAGAGTCCAGGCGGAGGAGAGGGGCGCCAATTAAAACTGTCCCATCAGAGCCTCACGCCACGCTCAGTGACCGGCGGCGTTTTTGGTCTTGTGAAGCGAGGACCTTTTCCAGCTATTTGTCTACAGTGACTTTTGTACACATCTAGCCCAACGGTGCAATTACTCCGATGCTTGAATTATACTCCACGGACATTCCAGATGCATGATGTCGTGCAGAGCACGGTCCTTCGTGGGGCCTGCTGACCCCTCCCAGAGCTCAGGAGATTGGTTGAATCCTGGCCAAGCAGCAGAACAACGGAGGCTGCTCAACGTGGTCGTGTTACTAAAATACGCGCACATGACCCCACTTCTGATGAGCGACCAGACTCATGCTGCAAACAGATTTAGAGGAAGAAGAAAATCCCCATTTCTTGAATGTTAAGCAACTGCATGCAATAATGCTTCAATGTGAGTGTTCTTAAGGACTATTAAAGCTTTTTTATTTTTATAAAAACTTTTTTTCCCCACCGATTGATACAATGTATGTATTTTTTTGATTGCGCTTTTTTTCTGTTGGGTGAGCATATTTTTTTCTAAGAAAAAGAAGGTCAAAAGAATGCATGAAATCATTTCAACCTTGTTTGTAACTGAAAGTGAGAAAGATAAAAGGTTGAAATGATACAATTACCTGTAAAATATATCCACATTTTGTACTGATTCAAGCAGAAAGTGAAACCAAATTACATGTAGAAGTATTTTATGTTATTTCTCATAATCAAATACATTTTTTCTAAAAAGTAAGCTATCTAAAGACAATACAGAGGTTTCCAGTTTTCTTTTCTTTTTTGTTGACATGCAAAATTAGCAGTTTGATTTTAAAAAGGCCACATATGTGTGTATATTTGCGGCCTGTTTTATCTGGATTTTTAACAATGTTACAACTCCTGTTGGAAACGGTTTTTAAGGTGTGAAGTTCAGAGGACACAAAGTAAGCTTATTGAGACGGCAATGCAAAATATCTTTGACTTTTTCAGGCTTCCACAACCCATGCAGCCAGCAGACAAGAGTAAACAACATGCTTAAATTTGCTTGGCTCACCTCACGTTGAGCATACTCACAAATGGCAGTTGGTATCTAAGATGAGGCATAAGAGTCTCAGAATCAGGGAAATGCTTTGCACACATTTTGTCTGAACCCCCCACCGCTTCCAGCAGAAGTTCATGTAAATAATGTAACCGTTTATGTTTGAATATCTGTCTGCCTGTGTGTGTCTGAAATAAACAAGTATGGTGTTCTAAAATGACAGCTACTGTCATTTCACAACCATTTTCCCAGTTATTAATGTAACTGAAATGTTCCTTGATGGTGATGAGGCAAATCTTTATTGGATACAGAGAAAGTTTCAGTGATAGGACCACTGGAGAAAAGGCACCAACATTTCCAAAAGAAGTCCAGGATTTGCGCAAACCCGATTCAGAACCAATTAACAATTTGAGTAAGACAAATGTTCTTCTTTGCCAGATGGAATCAGTCAATACAGCAGTTGGGTTGTATTGTGTCAGGGTGACTGTAAGCTGTGAAAGAATCCATAAAGACTGGGGAATTTTAATTCAGATTTATCATGTCTGTCTTTATGGTACATAAGGTCAAAAAACATATCTGTACCCACAAAACTGAAAGCAAAACATCCCATTTTATCTGCAACAATACAAACACTAACACTTTGTATAAAGGTTGTTTGCACCGAGCATAGAATCAGTCTGTGCTAGGGAAAAAAAAGAAAAAGAGCATGCAGTGCATGGCCAACCAATTCCAGATGTCAATATGTTGCATTATGTCACTTAAAGGAATGGAATGATCTACGTTGGAAAATATTAGAAACTATCTAATCACCAGGAAATGTGGACAGGCTGTAGAAAAGCCGTGCTGATGCTGATTGTTGATGACAGAGCTTGGAGGCAGCTGCAGACACAGTAAAAAGCTATAGATTTTCAGCTCCAAAGTGTGCTGAGCTCCGCTGTGTGGCTCTCCATGTCACAGAAAGCACTTACAAGATGTCTTGACTCAGCACACAGTTTGCATCCATGTGACAGCACAGATGCTGAGCACCTGCAAAATCTCATATTAATATGAAAACTCAGTTTACAAGCTAGTTTAAAACTTTTACAATCTTTTCCAGCACATGGGGGGGGGGGGGGCTATGGTCCATTCTCACACAGCGTTCTTATAATTAATGACAAGAACGCTACAGGACTACATCTGTCCATTGGATCTGAGATCACTTCACATGCAAAAGACTTAAAATCACGCAACTACTATGCGAATGTTTTCTTTTTTAGAAATCCCAAACTACTGATTCTTTAGTTGGATGGCAGAGAATAAACCAGAGCAGATCAAGAGTAAGAATATGACATTTGTTGGTCACAAGCAGAGTAACGACCGAGTGGTATTGGCCAGCTACCTCTGACATGAACCGGCCAGCTTCTAATTCATGCCGATTTAATTGGAATGTGATAAGAAAGAGTGTGTGTGGATGTTGACTTTGAAGACATGTATACTGTATCAGAGAGAGGGAGAATCTCTGGGCACACCATGAGAGTTTAACACAAGAGTATACTTCTAAAAGGAATGAGACAGTCTTTCAAATGGATTATTTTATAGCATAGAATGCTAAAGTGAGTAAAAACTATAGCCCAATTCTATAACGCCTTATGGAAATGCTTTAAAGGGACACCACGCGAACTGCCACGCGCCCTGATGAACAGGGCCGATGCACCTGCTGAGGGCCACGCGGTGATTTCAGCCCTCCTGCGGACTGACGGAGGCCATGGCCGCTGCACAGAGGAACCACCAACCTGAAACGGCCCGGAGGCCTCTCCTTTTCCTTGGAAATCTGCTTCCAGAGCTCCCCGTGGTCGCAGAGTGGAGGCGGGCCCTCTCGGAGGCCTCGGCGACCTTCGGCCGGTACTCCGCCGCGGCGTGCGAGGCCGTCCTCCTCCTGAGCGCGGGCACCGAGCTCCTCCTGAGGGCCGCGCTGGTTCTCGCCAACGGCCTGGCTCTTCACCTCTCCATCCTGCTCAAGCTGAACGCCTTCCTCCGGCAGGCCGCGGCAGGCGTGCTGTCCCGGCGGGAGGCCGCGGGCTACGACTTCCGGACGGCTGCGAACGACGCGGTGGCCGCGCGGGGGCTGAGGTGGGCCCGCGCGGCCGTGCGCGTGCTCTCCGCGCTCTGCGGGTGCCCGGCGCGCGCCCTTGTGAGGGTGCAGGCCTCGGGCCTGTTCGCGCTGGTCAAGCTGGCCGTAGAGGCCGGCTGCTGGCACGTCCTCTCCCTCCTCACGGACGCCGGACCCCCGACGGGCCTCGTCCAGGCTCTGGGGTTCGTTTCCAGCCTGTGGACGTTTTAAAAAAAATCTCTTGCATACGTTGTTCAGTAACGAAATGTTTACGTTTTTAATGGTCGCCCAAATGTATGTGTGGAATCCAATTTCAGAGTCTTAATAAAAAATAACTCGTCCTTTAAATGGTTTATCAGAGAGGCTTATTACAGACGTTTATGGCTGTGTGCATGCGCTTATATGAACTGTTGCTTTTTTAAAACAAATTTAAATGAGATATCTCAAGACACTTCAAAAGAAGAAGCATTTGACACTTTATTGCATCAGACCCACTCATAAATAGCTCCCACTAACCCATACAGCTTCTAACAAATGGTGGAAGGATTTGGTGCCATGTCTTGTCAAAGCATCCTGGTGAAGGAAGAAGGGGAAAATAAAGAGAGGGGGGGGGGGGTATAAGGGAAGGTGTACTACATAGTCCAGTTTCTATTCCTTTCACTGGCTCAGGAGCAGCATAATGTTTCAGAGAAGAGGCATTAAAAAAAACAATCTAAATTAAGGCTTGATTGCAAAAGCGATAACTGACTTCAAACCAAAACTTGGCATCTATTTTTTTTTTCTATTCAAAGGAAACTTGTTTGGCTAAATTGTGTGCACATGATCTTCTCCTTAGCTTTCAAAGAAAAAGAGAAGCTGGGCTCAAACTTCACTACACAGGGACATGCAGTCCCTTTGCCTAAAATGCCTTCAATCTACCAGCATCAAGTTTGACTGTAAAAACAATAATGGACAAACATATACAATATATATGTTTTGGTTCACTACTATCAAAGCCATCAGAGAGATTTTTGGTTTGATATCTTTAGATGACAGTAACATCCACCCTTCAAACAAAAGAATAAGACACTTCCACAATATAAAAGGTTGTTTGACATAAAAAAAAAGACAAATGGATAAAACACGCCACAAATGGTCCCTGTATTGCAGCGGTCATGGAGGCGCGGGGGGGGGGGGCTGGCAGATGAGTACAACTTGTAACTTAGTAACTTTTTCCTCACCACTTCAGTAACTTTTGAAATAACAAGCAACCCACAGATAAACTCTATTTGACAGCTACCATCAAACTGGGATTGTACAAAACAGATGTCAGAGAAGACAGGAGAATGAGGGCTCCACTAACGTCTATGTGTTTTTCTTTTTTTAATGACCTGAATTGTGATGCTACTCCTGTGGTGCACTGAATGTCTCAGAACAAAATCCAAGATGGGAACAGAGTCAAAACTGGCCAATTTGAGCTGCAATTACAAAGAGCTGATGACCTGTGGTTTGGAATGATTTAAGACACTGGTTTACTTCAGCTGTGGAGTAAAAACACTTTGAATCATTAGCTGCCAAAGAAAATATCCCATGTAACCTATAAATCATTGCACAAAGAGAAAAAATGAGCTAGGATGGCCTTCAAAGCTGAACTTCTCTAAGCCAGCAGCTTTAACATCAGCTATCACAGACACCCAACAAACAAACATGGACAGCCCATGTTTTGAGCAAGAATGTAAATACACATGTATGGTCACTGAAAGTTGCTACAGGGTCAGGAAAGTTAAAGAGTTTTTTTTTTTTTTAAACAGGATGACGGTGTCAGCCCCGTCCCTGCCACCATGGACTAAACTGCATTAATAATAGTAACAATGATGCCGGAGGTTTCGAGAGCTATGGAGACAGAGGGATGCAACAGTAATTTACACAAGTATCGATCAAAAGATTGCGTTAAAAAGAGCGACGACACAGGACACCCAAACAGGACGTTGTCTCCTTTTTCTCTTAGCAGACGCTCCTTTGATGTCAGTGTTTGAGTGAGTGTCAGCCAGGCGGTGAACGGGGAGGTTTACTCTACTGTCACAGACTTGGCCAGGTTTCTTGGACAGTCCACCTGAATTTCAAGCAAGAAAGAAGAGGTTTGTACACCTTGACACGTAGCGGTCATATGAACAAAACCCAAAATGAAACGTAATTTTTAAAAAACAAAGCCCACTCACATCGTAACCTCTGAGGACGGCCAGGTGGAAGGAGAGCAGCTGCAGGGGGATGACGCTCAGGATGCCCTGCAGGCAGTCCACACATCGAGGCACTTTGATGCTGCGACAGCAGCTTTTGATGGTCTCGCGGTCATCTTTGTCACAGATCACGATGGGGCGGCCCTGCGGATGGAACAAGCATTTGAACGCAACTGACGAGAAGCTCCGAAATACACCCGCCTTCCGCAGCTCATTTTCGGTGGTCTGGTTTTCATTTGGAGGCTTGAACTCCTTGTGTCCCGTTACCTCTCAATAAAAGAGTGTATTTTTTATTGAAGACGTTTACTGACATTGGGTTAGGGTGTTTATCTCATACCTGGCGGGCAGCGACTTGCTGCAGGGCGTTCTGACACTTGACGTAGGTGTGGTCTCGCATAATGATCATGATAACTGGCATGACGTTATCCACCAGGGCCAGCGGGCCGTGTTTGAGCTCCCCGGCCAGGATACCCTCCGAGTGCATGTAGGTGATTTCCTTGATTTTCTAAATGGGAAGAAAATCAGCTGAAGATCAAGCTAATCGGAGCTTATGTGGTGGTCATTTCAGGACGTAGTTCTTCTGTCTCGCCACAGAATTTTTTGCTATCAAGAGTCATCGATTAAATACATAGGTATGTAAATATATAAAGAGTGGTTTAATGATGATGTTTGCTCACCAGGGCTCCTTCCAAGCAGGTGGCATAGTGGTAGCCTCTGCCCATGATCAGTACGCTCTTCTGCTGGTACAGCTCTGTCGCCAACTTCTGGATTTCATCATCCATACTGAGGACCTCCTTAATCAGATCTAAAACATGTATTCATGTCAGAGCAGGCTGACTAGAAACAGCAAAAGTTTTAAAAATAGAACCTTTTGTAAAACGTTTGGCAACATCCTGGATACAACAAGTTTCAAATGTAGGATGGGGACTGAGAATAAAAAATCCATCCTCATTAGCTTCCCATTAGGAGTGTTTTTATCGTATTACTTAGATCAAGAGAAGCAGGCAGAAAAAAAAAATCAAAGTCCTTTCTCTGTTAATCCCTCTCTATTGTGGTTTAGTTTACTATTTTGGGGCTTGTTTGATACAGTAAATGAGAAAAACATTATGCCTGATATTAATCTTTTGTTGTTTTTCTCTTTTTTATTGATTTTGTCCTCACATCTATCCAGTATCTCTCTGGCTGATATAATCTATGTGACTTAATTTACCTGGGAGCACTCTCAGGCCCTGGATTATCTCCCGGCGTCTGGGCTGCATTGATATGCGGTCATCGCACATCAGGAGAGCAAACATGATCAGGGCCACAAACTGACTGGTGTAGGCCTGTAAAGCGAAGAGTAAAGACAGAGTACAGATGATGTCATCGACACCATGGGGGTCCCGTGTCATTTTACGTAACATTTTCCTGTGTCGCGGCCTCACAGATTAACAAAGATGAGAGTTGATCAGTGATGTATCCTGAAGGTTTACACAGTCGTAAGTGGATCCAGACTGCACAGTCAGCTCTTTTAAATAGAACTGCAACTGTCCTAAAACCATAAGGATTACCCTCCCCCCTGCCCCATTAAAAAGAAAAACAAAAAAAGAAGACTTGTTTAAGAGCACGCGCTTTGATGAATCTGGAAATGTCCCCACTCATACCCTCACACACATCAGAGCCCCGGAGCCTGCCGTCACCACCACCCACTCCCCTTCTGCTCCTTCATCTCCCAGCACGGTTGGAGGCCTTCCATGCCCATTCGGGAGATTTAATCAGTGCTCGAGTGCAGCCAAGTCACTTCATAGGACCCTGTGGACTCAGAAATACCAACATGTAGGGCCAGGAAAATAGCAGTAAAAGCCTTTTCCCTGACAGCGCTCTAAACACAACCCCTCACATCGCTTAACGCAGTCGGCTCAGATGTAACAATACACCCTCGCTGTAAAAAGCCATCTTCCTCAACATTCACGTCAAAGGCCTCTCCTCAGCAGAAACGAGGACTCTTACGCACAGCTTACACACGGAGAAATGGATTGCAAAGCATGACGGGGCTGAACTAGACAGCGAACTCTGCAACCCTCCAAATTCCCAATAGACCCTGTTATGTAATCCTTTCAGCAAAACGGTTGCCAAGCCCAGTCGTCTGATCTGCCAAAGAGATCTGCCTGCTGAGAGCACTACGGTTTCAAATCTCAACTTAGTTCATGAATCGATAGCGAAGGAAAAACGTCTGCAGCACGTAATAAAAACATCTGCACAAACCGCAGAACATTAAAGCGAAGCGGACGAATCTGAGCTCGTTAGGTAGTTTGGTGTGATGCGTGTCCTCCGCTAGCTTGATGGGATAGGTTGTGAGCGTGCGCTGTTTGGTGAAGGTGGGCGTGGGGGGAGGCCAGCCAAAGCCGTAAACGATGGCGTCTCTGTGGTGCGCTCTGGGGCTTTGGAGCAGCACAAGAGTCGCCGAGCCAAGCCCAAAGCCTGGAGAAGGGAAGGACCTGCTCTACACTCCCTCTGTGTGCACTTTACTTCCCCGCTCCCTGTCCCAGCTGGAAAATCCTTTTGGTTATGAGGGCGAGAAGGGGAGGGGCGGGGGGGAGGCATTAAAACCAGGCATTTGAGCTTTACATCAGTCAAGATGATAATATCAGCCTTCTTCTGCTCCCTGTGGGATTAGAGTGGAGGACCCTGTCAGCTTCCAAAAGGCGGGACCAGATTGGGGATGGAGTTTTCATCTGGGTTTAATTCAGTGGGCACTGAGTTCATCTGTGAGATAATGCTACAAACGGGCGTACAGTGACCTCAAGCTGAGTCTCAAAGAGGCCATTTCACACGAAAAAATATGAAACCATGTTCTTTCAAATTCAAAATTAATGTTCACAGGGAAAAACTGAACCCCCTCGTGGAACATTTCTGTGTTCGAATGAGCAATAAGTTCCAAGCAGGACTGCCACCAACTTGTCATTAAGTGATATTTCTCGCTGCTTAGTCAAACATTACCAGAAGTAGATGCGGTTTTAATTAACACATGCTTGCAAATGATGATATTTTCAAAGAAAATCATCATGCTTGCTCCAGATAACAAAAGCTAGAAATTCATTTGGCGCATTCAGCGAACTCGCTTGAGTGATTATGAGAAAGCGCTGGTCTCTGATGCTCGGGATCACGATGACTTGTGTTAGAAACATTTCCACAGGTACCGGCGGCTCGCCGGTGCTGCTCTTTTCATGCTTACCTTCGTGCTAGCAACTCCAATCTCCGGCCCGGCGTTGATGTGGACTCCACAGTCGGTCTCCCTGGAGATGGAGCTGCCCACTGTGTTGGTGACGCCCACAGTCAGAGCTCCTCTCTCCTTACAGTAGCGCAGGGCCATGAGGCTGTCCGCAGTCTCTCCTGCAGCGGGAGAGGACAGACTCATCAGTTGCTATGGAAACAGCATCAAATGCGAGCTGATCTGAGGGGACTAGGGTTGTCAAAAGTATCGATACTTAGAAAAGTATCGATACTAAAATGTTGTATCCGGATACGATACTCATTTTCAAAAGTATCGATACCACCGCGCGAGCCCGTGCGAGTCCGCGCGAGCCCGCGCAAGCGCGCGCGCGACGCTGACCTGCCGTCGCTGCGCCCCTTCTTTCAAATTTATTTATGTATTTATTTACGTTGTTTATGATCATTAACGTGACGTTAGCCCTGAACTGCTAGCTGCGGCTAATGGCTAATAATAACACGCCAACATTAATCAAGTACATATCCGTCTCAGCCCACATCCAAATCGGCCATTTTGATTACGTCACCAAAAGGAAAATCCCAGGCAAGAAAATAGTAATGCCTCATGGCAATATAGACATTAATTTAAAAATAGTTAAATTAATCTTTCAAACACTTAGTAAAACTCTATCCATAATATTATGTTAAAATAGTGGATGTTAAATAGGTTTGTACAATAAGTCCAAACAAGTTTAACCCAAAAATTGTTTCTCACAATTATGAAGGGTGGAGGGTTAGGGTCAGGGGCAGGGTCAGGGTTAAGGTTAGGATTAGGGTCAGGATTAGGGTCATTAATTCAGGCCACCAGCCACGATAACATCAGTAACAGGTCAGTTTGAAATGAAAGACACTAACCTATCAAAATTCAGTTAAATTTTGGGGTATTTGTTTTTATCCTTGTGGTATCGAAAATGGTATCGAGTATCGAGTATTTTCCTGAGTATCGGTATCGAGTTGAAAATTTTAGTATCGTGACAACCCTAGAGGGGACTTTCACCGAAAGGCCGAAAGGCACGCGCATTAGAAGGGATTTTAAAAAAAGAGAGCTTGCACACCTGACTGGCTGATGAAGAAGCACACGTCGTCTCGAAAGACTGGCGTGTTCCTGTCCAGGAAGTCGCTGGCCAGCTCCACCATGACGGGCAGCTCCGTTAGCTCCTCCAGGACTTGGCGGGTCTGAAAGGTGACGGAGAACAGCTCTGTGTCATTCTTCACAGAAAGCCAGCCAGGCTCAAAGCCAGGAAATAAAGCTGAATCAACAGGGAAGACCTCGCTTAACCTACAGATGCTCTGTGGACTTCTACTACGTGAAACCGAACCACAGACAAAAGAGGGTTGGTTAACAACTACTTACCGCCACTCCAGCATGGTAGCTGGTGCCACAGGCAATAAGGATAAGCCTCCGACACCTCTGGATTTCTTTGATGTGGTCTTTCAGTCCCCCCAGGGTCACTGAAAAGCAAAACAAAGAGCTCATCCCTCTCTTCTGCTTTATTATTTCCCCACTTGCTAAAAGGGATACAAAAGCGACATAAAGACTGTTGAGGTGCGCCTGATGAATTCTTTTATAACCTGTGCGGAACTGTACTTATTTCCAATAAAAGCAATAGATACTGGAATTCATTTTAGTGTTAACAAGCAATAAAGCTTCAGGGTGTCGCTGAGCCAGCTGGCATGGTGCCTCTCTAACCTGTGTTGTTGTCGAAGTTGACCCTCCCTCTCATGGTGTTTACCACAGACTCCGGCTGCTCGAAGATCTCCTTCTGCATGAAGGAGCTGTAGTTGCCTGTGATGTGAGAATCAGATATCAGTGGAACATTTCCAACACCAGTAAAAAGAGGCTAAGGCCTCTTAAGCGCGCAGTGAGAGGCTTTGCATTGAGTGTCAGCCCCTGTGAGGTTGGTCTTTTTTGACGCGCCTTCAGCTTCTGCAAAGCAGCGTCCGGCTGGAGGAGCAGGGAAGGTTTTTACAGTCTTTACCTGGCCCGGGTTAAGGCTTTCTGCTGCTTGAGCGAAACGTTTGGAGCCGCTCCAAACAAAATTAAACAAACATGACACATCGGGGAGATGCGGTTATTGTATCGGTAACAAATGTGGCAGTCGGAAACTAAACTCTTTTCAGCCTGCCTCCCACCGTAATTTGGGTCACGTAAAGGAGGTTATTCAGCAGAAAGGCTGCAGAAAAAGAGACGGAGGACAGAGGCTAAGAAATGACAGGACCAGAAAGGAATGCTGGGGGAAGCCAACGTCAGGCCCCCTCTGCCCTCTGCTGGACTACAGGGGGAACGCCAGCCAAAGAGAAGAAAGAGCCTTCAGTAACAGCAGCCTCACCACTCACAGGGACAGATCTTCCGAATCTGCAAGGCAGCAGGCCCAAATCTAATACAGTATCAAATATGTTCATAACTTTTCATATATTGGTGCCTATTTTAAAGAGCCAGCTGCGAAAACATGGTGAAGAAGTTTAATTTGTCATCACATTTTGCCCCATGAGATCAGTAAGAATCAGGATATAAAAAGGAACTGTTATCTTACTGTATTGATCAATAACTTATTAAAATACATCTAGAAACATTTTTGAAAGACTTCAAAAGACTGCACAGAAAGACCTAAACACCAACCTGTGGCCTCCAAGAAAAAAAAAAAAGAAAAGAGGAAAACCTATGGGAAGGGAAACCTTCAGAAAATCAGGACTCATTTGAGCATGTAGCTTCCAGGTGCAACTAGTCCAGATAACTAGTTTAAACTACTCAGATAACAGGCAGAGCCTCAGGGGAGGCTGTTAAAAACATTTCAACAGCTGCTTATTGCTTCCGACATGGGGTAATGATGGAGTTTGAGGTCAAATTACAAGGGAGCTTACAAAGGATTTATTTGCAAAAATGGGCAAGAGTCATAAATCATGACTTGCTTGGGGCCAACTCAAAAGGCAGACTTTGCTCTCACCTTTCATGATCTGCTGTAGCTCCATCTGCAGAGTCTGGATGGCGCGGGCCGGGTGGTCTCCCACCGTGCGCTTTATCCTGTGAATGGACAGCCGGCCCTCCATCACTGCGGCCACGTCATCGTCCTCCAGGAAGATCACCTGGTTTGTGTGCTCGATGACAGCGCTGTGGGGATGAGACACAGCCCACATTAAGTCTTTGTTCTATGATCCATCAACAAGCTCGGGATGACTGCACATCGGGGGGAGGGTTTCCTGGCTGATGCACAGCTGTCCACTCACCTAGCATCAGAGGCAAAGTAATATTCCACGGCTTTTTCATCCACAGGGAACAGGCAGGTGTCCTGATCCGTCCTGGGAAGGGCACCGCAGCTCTTCTTGTCTTTACCAGCTGGGAAAGCAAAGAACAAGCACATCAGTCACGCCTGTCCCCTTTGAGTTCCTCAAAGTGTGCGAGTGGCAAAAGAAATGCGTCGTTACAGGAGCGGTAAAGCACAGGGATGTGATCGGAGGACAGCTTGTGATCACTGCGCACACCCATCAGCAGCGGACTTCCCCTCCTGTGCAAAACACAAAAGATTATGTTCTACAGCTCATTTTATACACACACCACATTGTACATTATGTACTGTTTGCAACCATTTAAAAGGAATACAGTCGGTACTTTACCTTGTGCCCACTGCCTCTCCGGGATAGTGGACACTCTTGAAAACCAGAGCAAAGGCTCCCTCCTGGCGGTTTTAGGGAAAAAGAAAGCAAAAGTTAAGGAGGTCCTTGTTTAAGCTCATATTACCCCTCTTGGCGATGACCTGCATAGGCCTAGCTCACCAACTGCTGAGTTACACGCTCAACCAACGTGGCAAAGTTAATGTCGTCATTCTCCCGGTTGTCATACATGTACTTCACCAGTTTGGCAATGGCTTCTGTATCAGTTTCCGACTCAAACTCGTAGCCTTTGCTCTCCTGTAGAGATAAAACCAGAGCAGCCTTACATGTCCCGTCTATATATCACAGATAAAACCATGACGAAAAGAAGTCAAGACAAACTTTACTCACCAGAAACTTAGTCAGGTCTTTGTAGTTGGTGATAATTCCATTGTGAATGACAATGAACTCTGCAAAGCAAAAGGAAAAGCACAAAAGGTAAGACTCCCGGGCAGCGTAGCACAGTTCAGAAAAACAGTCTGAGCTCATCTTTGACCAACTGACCGTTGTTCTTGTCAGATCTGTGTGGGTGACTGTTGACCGGGCTGGGCACGCCGTGGGTCGCCCAGCGGGTGTGGGCAATGCCAAGGTGAACATCGAACTCCACATCCAAGTCAATATCCTGCTGCTCTGAAGGGAAAAAACAAACACAACCCAAACGCATTGAGCATTTAAACCCTATCACAGCAAAATGACCCATTTTTGCTAAACTTACTGTGGATTTCCTCATCTAGGGCCTTCACTTTTCCACGCTGCTTGATCAGCTGGATAGTTCTTGCATTGGACTCCCAGTCTTTGCCATTTCCTCCATCTATCCCCACACCTTCCAAGATTAAAGGTAGAAAAAATATGTCACTTCACCATCCAAATGAGAAAAAAACAGGCCATGTGTGTAAAGGCAATTCCACCAATAATGCTCCTATTGCTCAGCTGACTCGGTGATGCCATGTCTGATGTGTGTGCACACACACACCCTGAGGGAATTCCAAAGGAGGAGGAGCCCTGGGTAAACAATGATGTCTATTTTTTGCAGATAAGCCACAACTGATAAATGAAAATGGCTACAGATTACTGGACGACTGTTTTTTCTCCTGAGCGACAGCCACCTAAAGTCAAGACTGAGTTAATCCAAGCAGAAGCACACAGTTAAGTCTACTCAGTGGCATCGTCCCAGTAGATACCTTAGAAGGACACAGTAAAGAAACATAACACCTTGATAAAAACAAAGACAAAGTGCTTCCTGAGGCGCCCCCCTTCCATCTTTCTCACCAGCTGAGTCATAGCCTCTGTACTCCAGACGTCGCAGACCTTTGAGGAGGATCTCAAGGATGTCACGGCGAGTCCTTGGCACGTGATAGTTGAGATAAGCAAAGATTCCTGGGAACAAAAGACAAATCAGACAAGTTATTCTTTGCAAATCGGGAATTCTGAATTTTGCCGAATAAAAGTAAACTTAATACACAGATTCTCTGGTTTTAACAAAACGGGACAGCCAAAGAGAGCATGTTCACAGGACTTCTGAAAAGTCAAAGAAAGCAAGTAAATTCCTTCCCAGTGAAGTGAGAGAGGCAGAAACTGGTGACTCTGCAATCCACTTTTTTCTTTTTTTTTTTTTTACAATGAAACTGAAGGGTAAAAATTGAGTAAATATGTTTTAAACGGGGCACAAAAAAAGCAGACACTGGCAGTTTGATGTTTAATGGGCGTCTGCCACCCAGTCCCACACCATGAACGGGAGGAGCTGAGTCTGAGATGTAGCCTGTAACTCAGGTAGGCCCGGCCAGATAAATGCAAAGAGAACCGGTGGTCGGCCCGATGAACAGGGCAGTCATTCAGGGCAGCTAAACACGCAGAGAGGGGGTGAGAGGAAAAAATGCAAAATGCTGTGGAAAGAGGGCAAGCCCATCTTAAGGCCTTTTATGAAGACATGTTTTTGTGTGTGTGTGTGTTTAAATGAAACCTTTGTAAAGTAGTATCAGCCACTAATGAGGAACAACACCAACCAGTTCATCTGGTCTGAGTGGTATGTTGTGCTGACCGAAATAGACGAATTACACAGGTGATCAGTCACCAGAGTCACACTTAGAACAATCTATCAGCTAAGCTTTATTTCAAAGGAAAATTAATTGAAAGATTAAAAGTTTATCTTTAAGTAAACATTAAAGCATTGTTCAAGCATAATTCAAAACCTTGAAAGATCTCAGCTTTTTTTTTTTTTTAATACACCTGATAAACATTTAGGACACTTTGGAGTCATAAATTACCTAACAAATTTGAATAAACCAACCAGATTAACAAAATATAAGCCAGTGGAAAGTTACGCTATGGGCGTACTTTAAACGTCTGTCACGTTAGCTCCCTGACGTTAACAGGAAGAATGCATTATTATTATCCGACTTTTGTACACGATCTTGCAGTTCGAAACACACTTAAGGACCAATAATTTCACAAACAGAGCAGGTACAGTAATACAAAACACTGTTTTATATTTAGCTGGCCAACAGCATCAGCAACTACAGCTCATGTTCGCTAACCAGATTCAGGTTAGCTACCACTGCTAGGTTTCAGAGAAAACCCAAGGCACAGTAACAGCTATCCTTCACTTTTATCAGTGCCGGCTGATATGTAATAGTCTGAAAAATGTTTTAGAATAATATCATCGCAGAATAAACCCATCACTCACCACACATGTCTTCTTCTCGGTTGCCAGATACAGCTACTGCGTCGGGTAGCTGGGGACGCCTGTCAGGAAGCCTCGCCCTCCTCTCTGTCCACTAAGCCAATCGTCATCTTCCATGGCATCGTCTAATTGGTCGAGACGCCTGTCAATCTAGCTGAATCCTTGAACGTACGCACTAATGACGTGGCATCAGGATGCGATCCGGGGGCAGAGCAGCCAGTAGATCCTGCTGCGGCCATTCATCAGCGCGTAAATCAACATCACTACACAAACGCACCTGCAGGTCCGGAAACCAGGCAGCGAATAGCTAATCACGATAAGGAAACTAAAGATTTTTTTTCTGAGAGTAATATCTAGGGAGTAATTCAAACTTTCTCAGCCAAAGTCCACACCTGGGAGTTGCTTGAGAGATGTAGCATGTCAAGAAAACTTTAAGCAGCTTTCATTAAATTAGTCTACTCTTTTTAGGTATGCTGAGTTAATTTTCCCAAAACTAAATTCTAGAAAAGATAAGATACAGGTACTAAGAACTCTCTGTCCACTTTAGTGGATGAAACAGAAAATGATGGCAGCACAAAAGAACATTTTTAACAAACTTTATTTATATAGATACAATGTACAGTATACATATCCTCTTTTCAGTCTGCAGAATATTTCAGCTAAAGAAATGTTACGATATGACAGAATAAATGAATATGAAGAATTCCTGTAGCTGTAAAATTGTCTCTGTAACTGAGCAATCCTGTCCTACAGATTGTGAATTATTGCCACTGAAGAGAGAATTGCTATCAAAACTTAATGATAACATCTGGAATAATACCAATATTAATTCTTTCACACTCCTGTGTAATACAGAAGCTCATTTTATTGCATCTACCACTGAAATCTGAAGCAGGTGACCAGAAGAGTGAGGAATGTGCCAAAGTGGTTTCAGTAGTTCAAACTTGAGCTGCTTCTTCCTCCTCATCCTTCACCTGGAAGACAAAACAAATTACATGTTAAGTTAATTTCTGAAATTAAGTTTTTTTTTTGTTGCAATATTTGGTTTATTGAGTTTTGCAAACTTGTTTATAGATAAGCCAAGCGCTTGGCATGTTTGAATTTAATGTGGACTGCAAAGGGGTTACTCTGTTATCTTGAGATAGCAAAGCCAATTTTTCCAATTAACTAGTTAATCTATTTTATCAAATCAAAGCGTGAAAGTGTAACTCCGTTTAAAGTAACTGTCTGCTAATGGGCTCATCTGTGGCCCCAGATAGGACTCCCATGAGGGATCGCAGCTGTTTGCAGTGACTGGAAAACAAATGTTGCCAACTTAAACTAACGTAATCTTAGCAAGAATATATTAACCCATTATCTGAAGAACATAAGCTGCACAATCTAAGGACAACAGCCCAAATTGACCCACTATCATCACTAACACGACTAATCATGCTACCAAGAGATAATGGCAGTAAATAACTTATCAATACAAAACTAGACCTAATATCTTATCACATTGAGATAACTCCTGAGCTTCAGATAATCTTTCTGACTTCCAACTATGCCATTTCCCAACTTCCACAGTTCGCTCTTCAACAATTAGCAACATTAAAGGCTTTCAAAGTTACAACCTCAGTTGCATAAACCTTTGGATAACGTTTAAAATGTAAATAAAGACAAAACTTTTCATAAAATGAGTTATGGATCTTGTAAATCATGCAAAACACATGACTTTTGACTGCATCAGGAGTGCTTTATGATGTAAGATTTAGTCTGCCTGCAGCCCTTTTTTCACCGTGCATCAGGAAGGTTTCTACATCATTCCCGTTATTCTTGTAGATAAAATATTGGTAACTGACATTCCGTATAGAAATGCGCCCCCAAAAAAAAAGAAAACGCACCTGCTCCACTGATTCAACTTCAGGTACATAAAACTGCAGCATGTTTTGGATTCCGCTCTTCAAAGTAACTATGGAACTGGGGCAACTGGTGCAGGAGCCTTGCAGCTTGAGTTTGACAATGCCGTCCTCAAACCCCCGGTACAGAACATCCCCTCCGTCTTCCTGCACCGTTGGCCTGGAGAGCAAGAACAGCCGCATGAGAGAGAGAAGGACACTGAGCTCCAGTCGCTGACCACAGCCTGTGGTCCTCCTCTGCCCTTACCTTATGCGAGTATCCAGCAGCTCTTTGATCATAGCAACTACTTCATCGTCATCATCTGAGGCTGCTAAAAGGAGAAGTGGATGTTGAAGATCTTTGGTATTTGATAACAATGTTCTTTAAACTTTCTCTGTGGTTTACTGTTGGCCTCGCACTAGGAAGGACATCCGTACCTGTATCTGCACTTGGCTTGCTGTCCTCATTTACAACAGGAAGTCCAGAAGTAAAGAAGTCCATAATGGCAGCAAAAACATCTGGCTTGATTACTTTCCATTCCATATTTTCACCTGACTAAGTAAAGAAAAAAAAGAAATTGCTATTTCCTGTTCCATTTTAAAAATGCATTGATGTGAGATTTAAATATGTTGGATCTGGTTTTACCCTGGTGATGGTGATGAAATCGGGGCCCAGGAAGACACTCTTGACTCCATCAATCCTAAACAGCTGTCTGGAGGCAATATAGAACATTTCATGGGGTTTAATATGTTTTTATCTATTTGCAAATACATTTCAAATGGAAATAAATGAGACTATAAAACAAAATGTAAGAAATAAAACGATTCAACTGGTATTTCAATTGGAAGTGAAATTCGTAAAATAGGTAATGGCATCAGAATAGTATATTTGGCTTTAAGAGCTTTTTACTTTTTCATTTTATGAGAATAACTAACAGTTTCCACATTATTGATGAATTCATTTTGAAAAATGAATAAATAAATTAAGGCTGATGACATGTGAGTTTTTCTACAATTGACTACAGTGTGAAATACAAAAGCTGAGTCAGCAAATTATACAAAAAATGTTAGTATCATTCTTACTTTATTTGACACCAAACTGTGACTTTGAACTCTGATATTAGTGACGCATTCAAAAAATTACACACCTCGCCAAGGGAGAGCAGAATGCATCCCGAGGGCCTGCAAAGTTCATGGTCCCCTCCTCAAGAACTATTCGACCAGGAAGAAACTTCAGACTATTTGGATTTGGTGTGTCCTGTGTCTGCACAAACATGCTCCTCCCTGAGAGCAGACAAAACACAAGTACGAAAAAGCAGGTGTTAGGGAACCAAAGGATACCTGTTTTTGTTCTGCATGTACCGATAAAAGATCTTCTCATAACAGTTTGTGCTTTCAGTTTTGACACAGCGGTGCTTTGTCTTGTTCTCATAGACACTTATTTGACCCGTCCCTGTCCCACTCTGACAGTGTTATGCTGAATTTACAAACGCTCAATATGAGCACTGTTATTCCGATGCTGTTTATTCCTATCACAATTGTGTGTGTGTGTGTGTGTGATCTATTCCAGCTGTCACTGGGCGAGATAACTTGCCATTAGCAATATAAAGTATAATATAGAACAGCTGAAACCGAAATTGAATACAAACCAGGAACAACCCAGAACGGGTTTTGCGGCCATCTGTTTGAAACTCCTGTGGCATGAGAGGGCCAACTGAATCCAGTTCGCTGACACCCAGCGCCAGCAAGACTGAAACAGTACAAACAGGATATTAAAAGTTAGTAAAGCAACAGCAATATCAAGTAACAGTACATATCACAAAACAAGAACCCACATAACAAGAGGGATCTTAACTTAGTTTAACCATTTTATTTTGCAATCATTTCAACATCTATCTAATTTTAAATAAGGACTAAAAATGTGTCCAAGAAAATAAGGCCTCTACATTAGAAACTTAAATTACTAATGTGAAACACATTTGAGGGCTCTGGCTGAGGTAATAAACCCTGTTCGTGCAAAAACAATCGACTGAAGCGCGTTCACATCATGACAAATGTAAATTGTTATGACTGAGATGTAAATAAGTGAATCAACAAATGACATTTTTTCATAACTACAGGGCAAATTCGCAATAAATGCAAGAGCCATGAAATCATATAGACTAATTTATATTCCAAAACAAGTAGATGAACTAAATCATAAAATAAGCGTAAAGTTTTATTTTAAAACAGCTGGATTGTTGCTTGAAAGGGGTGTGTGTGTGTGTGTGTGTGTGTTTAAGTGTACTACCATGCTTATGTTTGGACAGACTTGTTTGGTGTATGGGTTATATGAAAGAGTTAGGAACTAAATGTGAAAAAATGCGTATTGAGTAAACTACTAATGTAAGAAGTTAGCATGCCCCTCTTTCCCTCTAATCTCCTTTCCCAAAAAAACAAGTCTGCGTCATTCCAAGGTTTTATCAGCCTGCGCGTTAGCCTGCTAGTTAGCCACAGCTACAACCTGACTATCGGGCTATAGTGTTCGTAAAAATATACGTTTTTGAAAACTTAAAGGCCATCGACGTTCACAACTTGCACAAGTTTTACTTACGGCCGCATGAATCCTGCTGAAATACCCAACAACCTGCCGACCTGTCCGTAAGTCGCCATAGTTGTTTTGGTTACTTAAAGGGGGCGGAAGAGGTTTCCTCAAATCCGGAAGTGACAAATTATTATTGTACGTTTGGAAAGGTCCCCCCTCGTTTGAAGGTACTAGCTACTGGAAGGCGCTTTATTTACCAGAGCTTGGAAATAGTCAAACTACCAGGAAATGCCGTGTGGTAAAAGTTTCAGGAGGAGAAGTGACTCCTCAGACGAGGAGGAAGAGCTCGAGACAACCGAAGAAGTCAGGTGATTTAACCCCATGAATTAAAACAGCCATGGAAGCGTGTTCGCTAGCAGCTGTGGCTCCGCTCATCACATAGCTATACGGTATTTATTAGAGTATTTTAATAACAATCTACTTCACAAATAAGATCTTTTTTTCTTTTGTAATGTTCCTTTAGATCCAAGGTCGAGGAGGCTAAAGAGCTGCAAAGTTTGAGGAAACGACAGAGCGGAGTCAGGTAATCTGACGCTAGCATCCATTTGGTGTTTTTTTGTTTTTATTTTTTAACATTAGCATCACCAATGAGGTGCAGCATGATGAAATACTTAAAGTATTCATGTTTACCTCTTTTTCAGCGTGACTGCTTTATTGGTCGGAGAGAAACTGCCACCAGAGGCAGAAATTGATGTAAGTCATCTTTTTTAAAACATACTTGTTAAATATATATGTTTGAATTACGTCTTACGTATTTTTTATATTTCTGTTACCCTTTTTATCAGAATGATCCTTTTAAATTGAAGACTGGTGGAGTTGTAGACATGAAGAAAGTGAAAGACAGAAACAGAGACATGTGAGTGATTGTCCCTCTATCTTAATGTGATTCCCACATGGCTTGTTTTAGTTTGTTTTAACAAATATAATAAACACTGTGTCCCATATGTTATTTGATCCTCATACAGGACAGAGGATGAGACCGACCTCAATCTTGGCACGTCATTTTCAGCTGAGACAAATAGAAGGGATGAGGATGCAGATATGTAAGTGGGCCTTCATTTAAAAATAGCATCACTCAGAAACACACATAATCCAAAACACATGATACATTATGATAAACTACTCTAATATCTGTTTGGGACAGAATATCAGCAGCAAATAATTGTCTCTCAAAAGTAGCTGATAAATGTCTACTCACAGGATGAAATACATTGAGACTGAGTTGAAAAAGAAGAAGGGCTTGGTGGAGGCTGAGGAGCAGAGAGTTAAAGTGAAGAATGCAGAAGACCACCTGTACGAACTGCCCGAGAACATCCGAGTGAACTCTGCCAAGAAGACGGAGGAGATGTTGTCCAATCAGATGCTGAGTGGCATCCCTGAAGTCGATCTTGGCATTGAGTAAGAGAAGGTTTTTTCTTTTTCGTCGATAACATGAAGCATTAGCACTAATATCCTGTTGATGTTATTTCATTCCCAGTGCAAAGATAAAAAACATCATCCAGACTGAGGACGCAAAAGCCAAGCTCATTGCTGAACAGAGGAACAAGAAAAAAGACCTCGGCACGTCGTTTGTTCCCACAAACATTGCTGTGAATTATGTCCAACACAACCGCTGTGAGTACAGGCGTTCTTCCCCCGGCGGGGCGTGAACCGCCCTGCGATTCGCCACGGTGACGGCGGCCCCGCGGTTTGCTGACGGCACTGGCTCTGTCTTTCAGTCTATCACGAGGACGTTAACGCGCCACAGAGGCACCACAGACACAGAGAGGAGCCCAAAGCAAGGCCGCTGCGAGTGGGCGACACGGAGAAACCGGGTCCAGAGGGTACGAAGCCTCTCAGGGTTCTTTTTAAGGGTTGTTTTCATTCATTTGAAGCCCTCAATAATGTGAATTTTCCTATTTGAACCCTACAGCTCCATCACCGCCCAACCATCGCAAGCGTCCCAACAACGAGAAGGCCACCGACGACTACCACTATGAGAAGTTCAAGAAGATGAATCGAAGATATTAACCCACCGCCCCTCCTTGGTTTGCCACTCACCGTGATTCCCCCTTTGTGGATGCTGAGCCAGACGGACATGTTTTGGGCTGGTTGGTGTATAAAGCTTTCAGGGGGTTTCTGTATCCAGTGTATTATTACGGTGTGGTATGTAACTGTAATTTCTCTGATGAAAGCATTTGGCTTTAAATATTCATTTTCTTATCCTTTTCATTTTCTTGTCGATTTCATTCCAGGGGAAAATGTTCTAATTTTAATAAAATGTCAAAATGTATGAAGAGCTGATGGGTTAAGTTGTACATAAAGAAATGGATGCTCCAGCTTTGTAAATGCTTGAAATGTTTTTGTGCTTTGTTCGGCTGACAGTTTCATCATTTTAAGCCTAACAGGTGCTTAGTATTGTCAAAAGAATCAGTCATTTCCATTTTTTAGGCATATTTCTATAACGTGACACGGCTCCGCTGTGGCCTATTAAAGTGTTGGCAGGTGATCCTTCTCTGATTCTTGGATTTTGGTCCGCTGTTAAGTCTTAGACTTTTAGCGTGGCTTTCTATTTTTTAGGGTTTACAAAAAACGATTCAACTAAAAAAAGATGAGGGGGAAAAAAAACTTTCATTTGTTAATTTTATGTAAATACAACAACATCTTACAAAATAAGTTTTACAGTATAACTAAACATGTATTCTGGTGCAAAGTGTGTATATACAGAAAAAGTAATTGTTTTTTTTTTTAACAATTCAGTGGCTCAAAAGTAAACTAAGCAACAGGTGGGGAATATAACTAAGAGTTGACAGGCTGCTTTTCTCCTGATTCTAGTTAGCTTCTGGGCATTTTAAAAGCTACAAATGAAAAACAAATCCTCAATTCAAAGTCTTGGTTCATTTTAAAGACTACAAAACAATACTAATGAGTACAAAATCGTGCTGAGCACAAGTGTTCGGTGCCCATTCTGCTCATGCCTTTTCCCCAGCGGGCGCTGCGTGTCCGTTGAGGTGATGCTGGGCCCCTGCCTCCTGTGGGGGGGGTCCGTCGGGGTCCTCTCTGTCGTCTTGGGTGGAACTGGAGCTGGAGTTTGGGGAGGCCCAGCTGTCTCGCCGGCGGAAGGCCTCGCACAGAGGCAGGTCAGTGCTGTCCCACTGACTGTAGCTTTGCAGAGCGGAAACCAGTAGGAGGCAAAGAGTCAGCGCAGCGCAGAGAGAGAGGAGCAGACGAGAGCGGCAGGTCAGAACAAACAGACCGGTACACACAGGAGGACATGTGAAAGCACGGGTTCGACAGAAGCAAGAGCACTGGAGACAAACACTACCGCTTCTAGGTGCGATCGGCTAGCTGGTGACTGAAGATCAGCAGGAGTGGGATTAGTTGGCGATGGAGAAAGCAGAACTAGTGAAGCGAGGAAGGCAAATTCACACCCAGCACACTCCAAGCATTTATAAAAAAAACTTTCTCAAAGAAAACAAGACAGATTCCTGCAGCTTTTCGTCTCTGCTTTATTTCTCAATCACTTTGGGTCTACTGGAAGCTGACAGAAAGGTACAGCTGCACCATGGCGACCGACCGCTCACACGGTTACAGATTCTGCTCAGCCGGACGGAATCAATAAAATTCAATCTCTTAATTTAAAGATAAAATCTCCTAAAGAAATTCTCAAAAACTTTAGATTTAATATAGTCCAATAAATTACAGAAGAAACTCATATCTATGTTAAAATCCATTTGTTAAATCTTTCATAAAAGCCTATTACAAATAAATATTTTAGATGATGCATTGGTAGGAGAAACTAGTCTGACAGTTTATTTCAATATCTAATTTTCTTATTCATTTTTATTTTTACATCCAAAACAGCTCTTTAAAGCCTTCTAAGAATTCAATGTATAAAATAGCCCTTTAACTGCTTTAATTTCATCATCTTTAATGTTAGAAATATGTTTGTGTAAAGAGAAAAATTAGTTGGAACTTCTCATTGTTAATTCACATGCTCTTCCACAGAGCAGAAAGATGAAATTCTCATAATTATATTGAGTTCTGTTCAGTAATAAAATTCCTCCCTGTGAACAGAAAAGCTGCACATCTCCCTGGTGAAACGGTAACCTAGACTCCTCACAATACAAGGTGACCCGGAGCTGCGTTTGCCGACACAGCAGATTTTTAGGGCTGTGACCCGTGAGGCGCTTTGCATTCGCCAGTCATGAAAGGCATCATCAAAAGGGTCAAGGCACTTTTCTTTTTTTCTTTTTTTAAATGGTGAAAATGTAAAGCTACCTCGTGAGAAGAGGTCCACCACAATGACTCAGCAATGCGTTGATGAATGGTTCTGCTGGTTGTGAAAATGTGATGACTATAAATCAAAAGGTTACAGGTTTAACAGTGGGAGCTAAATCCTTCTTTGTGTTCAGCGGTGAATGGCAAAAAGGGGGCAACAGGACACAGTGCTGGGCAATGGAAGGAGTTGTGGGATGGGGGCAGGTATGAGCCTATTTGTACCTGGAGGAGTAATATTCTTCCTCTAGCTCATACAAGTCGACGGCGATCTCGTCCCGGAGCGACGTGAGCTTCTTGTCGCACTCCTCCTGCAGCGCCCGGAGCTGCTGGTTCTGGAGGCTGATGGCGTCGTTGACCGAGGGGAAGTCGTTCAGAATCAGGAACTGCTTCAGATCCGACACCAGCTTCATGAGGGACTCGCCAGCTCGAACCTACCGCAGCAGCACACAGGAAGTCTCTCATTTTGCTCAGCTGAGACTTTTCCAATTCACTGAAAAGTGCAGAAAATCTAAAGAATGACATCTTAAAAAAAAATCAGGAAAAGCAGGAGGCTTTGTGAAATGTCCTTCTTTTCAGAATTGATGCTGTACATAGTGAAATATGCATCTTTGCTGTGATTTATTTAACAGCACGTTTCTTTAGAAAATAGATGCATCCATCTACTCCCACCTTTGTGTCCTGTACCTAATAACTGAGTAGGGGTGCAAAACTGATGTGGGACAGAGAAACGGAAGGCTGAATGTGTGGCACTCACGATATTAGCTGCCCTGACGTGCATCTCGTAGTGGTCCTGCTCGGCCTGGGTCGCTCTGGACACCTGAGTCTCCTCCTCTATCTGGACCACGGACAGATAGAGCAGATTCAATCTGGCGTTTACACGGAAAATACACGTCTGGTAGAGACAAATATTGATGCTTTTTACGAAATGAAAATAACTAAGAAAGAGGTCGAATTAATTAGAAATGACAAGAGGGACACAGTAAACGGGGTACCTTTGCTAACTTGATGATTTCGGTGAAGTTGTCCATGACGGACTTGATGTCGTCTTTGAGCCTCTTGTTGTAACTCTGTAGCAGAGTCTCTTTGCTCTGTGGAAGCACTCTCTGAGTAGCCATGATGCCCAGGAAGCCCCCCCAAAAAACTTCACGGTATCCGTTCAAACGACTTTTTACAGAGAACTGTTTTTCAGCTGGAAATGTTCCACCATTAAACGCGCGAGCTAAGAGCTAGCACGAAGAGCCCGCGTGCTCTCTGAGCAGAAACAGACGCGCAAAGTCACATCTAATTTCTCTTTGACTTTTCTTATCCGACATTTGTTTCACACTGAAACATTTGTCGTTCACTGTTTATCGATTCATAATTCCAAACGAATATGGCTGTGATATGAAACACAGACCGCGATTGGTCTTCTTCGTCCTTTTGAAAGGTAATTCGGTTGTAGATTAGCGCCCTCTAGAGGTAACTCTCCAAAAAGGCTGGTCGTCTTTTATCCAAATTCACTCATTTCTTCAAACAGAGCAGTGCAAGTTTGAGGTTCCCAACTTGTATCACCTCTCCAGAAACAGTGTAAATAGCTATATCCATATATGGTGACTTGTTTGGTATTGTTTGCCAAAAAAAGAAGGAAAAGAATTTGGCACTTCATCATGTAAGGACGTCTGAAGTGTTGTCCATTTCTTTGATAGTAGTGGTGCAAAGTTATCCTGACAAGCAGGTAACTGTTCCCAGCCTCATTAATGAAGTTATGCTTTATCTCAATGTTTTAGTAAAAAATATTAAACCTTTAACTCACTTACACTCTTTTGCTTCTCTTTGAAAAACAAACAGATCTTTATCACTTCATCAGTAGTAGTAGTAGTAGTAGTAGTTTCTGGAGGTTTTTCTCTTACTGCTAAATAACTATTTTCAAGTATTTGGGTCCAGAAATCACAGATTTTGTTTCCTCTACCATATTTGGCAGGAAAATGACTGAAAGAGGAATAAGAAATATCAAAAGTTGTGATTGTGCAGGAAAATGGCCAAATGTGTTGAAAAAAAAAAGTACAAAATGTTCGATTTACATCCATTTAATAGTTTCATGACTTACATAATTTTCAAAGGCAGGCTGTGCAGCATATTAAGTATTTTGAGTGCTTTCTTATCCAACAGCAGCTGTTCCTCCAGGAGCGCTCGAAATACATTTTACAGCTGACAAAAACACATTCTGAAAGAACCCTGACTCTGTGTCAGTTTGTGTGCAATCTTGATGTATGCAGGTTCTGAGAAAAAAAACATTATCTAAAAAAAAGATTATACACCTCATTGACAAATGAAACCATGATTTTACCCATTGCAGCAGAGGAAACCTAATAATCTAAACTTTGGGTTGAAACAAGCTGTGTCTTCCTCCTTAAAAGTGCTATGGCAGGAACTGATTAGTGTTCCATGATTTCATAAAGTACAAAGACAATAATAAAATAAAAAAAAATCCAAAATGGCCATTGAAATAAAATCTAAATGTACATCCTCCAGCTGACACTATCTTGTATTCCCTGCCTGGAACTGCTGAGCTAAAGTGCTGTGAATCCCATTCAATGTCAGTTATTCCTGATGGAGCATCACAGTTGGTGCACATTTTGGATTTCATAGCAATATGTGCACTGCTGAGAGCAGATGTATTTGGTGCTGAATGCAAGTGCACTTGATTATGCAAAAGCAGGAGTTTTGTAAAGAGGCCATAAATCGGCTACTGTCATTTACACAGTTTTCTGGGAGGGAGAGAAACACGAGGTGGATGTAAGGCTTCAGAGAACACAGAATCTTCTACATTTAAATAACACAAGAACTACTACAATGATCTCCTGCGCCTAATGAGAACATCAGCTTTGTCCACGGCAAGGAACAAACCCTGGCATTCCATTTTCAACAGAGAACAGTGACCAAAAACATAACACACCTTAAAGAAATGCAAACGCTTTAGATGGACGCAAAAAGTTATGTTTCAAGTCAGTAATCGTCATTCCGGAAATGACCGTGTCCAGCATCTGCTTTATGACAAACTGGTGAACAACATGACCACGGGGCCCGTGAACACTGACTGATGTGGTTTACAGACTGTTTCCTGCTTTTCAGCATGCAGCTCCACTCTGGTTTGGATGCCGACTTGGTGCTCTCTGAAAACGCTGGAAAACAATTCGCTACCAGATCACAGCTTTTAGATTTCAGCGAGACATAATTCTGATCAAGCTTCAGCCAATCTACTGGATCCACTCCCTCACACACAGGAACTGAGGTAGGCAGGAAAGCACACTTGACCACCACGTTGTGCAGATGCACGCTGGAGGAATTGGGGACAAATAACAACACTTTTGGACATGAGCACCTGACACTAGTAGATCTAATTTGAGCCTGTTAAGAAGGGGATCCATGCGGGCCTGCAGTCCAGCTGCGGCGCTGGTGACAGCATGCAGGGTGCCTGTTGCAGTTTGCATAATTCAGCTGGGCTGATTCCCACTGACTGGTCTTCTGAGCGGTGTTTTAAGGCTTTTCCTGCGGGGCCTTTAGGTGAAAGGGGGCGGAGACGAAGGGGTCTACAGTGTTTGAGTCTAAGGTCCATGAGTGGTGAGGGTCGGCGGGGGCCGGGGCTCCGGAGGCTGGCCTGCCGGCGGTGGACGCTGCTCTGTGAGACGCTACTGGCTGCTGGGGGACGGGGCCCTCAAAGTGTCGAGAGTATTTGGCTAGAGCTTGAGGGTGGAATGGTTGTTGGGCAACTTGTCCCAGCACTCCTTGGTCAGAGGCGAGCGCCTGAGCTGCGGCTGCTTGGGGGTAGGAGGTCTTGGGATGCGTGGCCGAGGACTCCTTCCTCTTTCCGAAAGGAGCCTGTGCGAACACGTCGAAGTGCGGCTGAGAGGCCAGCGGGGCGCGCGGGAACGGGGCGTTGGCAAACACGTCGGCCATGTCCTCCTGCACACTGGGAAAGGGCGCTTTGGAGAAGACATCCACGGGGGCTTGTGGGGAGTGGTTCTGGCCATAGTTGGTGTGTGGGGGTTGTTGGAGGCTTTCAGGTGGCTGCAGTGGTGCAGCGCTGGGGTTAGGGGCTGACTGAGGTCCCTGCTCTTCCTCGTCTTCGGAGTCCATCAGCAGGGGTCTGGAGCCACTGCAGTCCAGGGCTGCCGGGTTACTCTCAGCAGCTCCCTCCTCTTGCTGCTCCTTACACACTTTTTTGTCCTCCTCTTCTTCTTCTTCTTCTTCTTCTTCGCTGGAGTGCTCACAGCCGTCGTTTGGAGCGTTTTCCTCAAGGGCTTCGGCCTCTCGTCCTTCCTCCAGCATCGCATAGCCGTTGCTGTCGCCTTGCAGATCTGCACAAGAGAGCAGAGACGGAAAGACATGTAAACAAATCCATCACACTGCAACGTCAGTGAGAAGAGTCTGAAGCACCGGACGGCCCCTTTAGCCATTTATCTGACCACACCAAAGGGCCGTCTCTCAGATCATCAAACCAGAGAATGGCTTAACAAGGAGACTACAATATCACACAGGACAAATGAGACCAGCACCTTACATTTTACGACACAACTTAGCTGTGGCTGCTGTGTCCTCCACTCAACCTTTTAAAGCAGAGCTTCGTGTTAGGGCAACAGGGACAGGAGTTTAGCTTTCAGTTAGAACTGATTAGGTTAAGGACTTCACAGGAAGTCAGTGCTACTGTGAAAACAAAGGGAAAGGGTCTTCATGGCATTAGCGAAATTAGACAGGTTTGCAGGAATTAGCAGACACAGATCAGTCTTACCTCAGCCGTGTTGACAGAAGCTGTTAGCTGGCAGCTCTTGCAGAGATGTTAGTTGTAGCGATTAAAGGGAAACACCAGTTGTTTCTGTTACTTCACAGGACAGTTCCCTCATCACTTGTCTATTTCATAGTACCCACAACTTAAGTCCCAGACAAGACTGGGGTTAATAAATCAGGAAAAAAAAGTACATTGTGTGACATTTTGGAGTGATCTACTGAAGATGATGCAGTGAGGCTGCTTTTGTAATTCGAATACCAGCAGTAATGTTTTAAAACAAATATCTACTGACATTCAGGGAACACATCACAAAGATGTAAAATAGCACAACACAGCTGGAAATCAATGTGACCAAAAGACAATTAGTTGACATTTACATCTTGTGAGCTTTATTTTCCCATTATTGTGCGTCTCTTTTTCGAATGTTGATTCGTAAAAAAGTACACGTTAAGGATCCTGACAAACAAACATCATTTCCCAAATCCAACATTCAGGTGTTACTTAAGTTATTCTGTCCCCTACCACCAGTTCCACCCGAGCAGGACATACAGCATGTTAGCTCCACACAGCAACGGTAACTAAATCTCTACAGCAAAGGTGAGAGCGCTACAGGTTACAGCACGGTTGTGTCTGATGAGTACAGGGTTATGATGGGATTGCATAGATAAATGCAAATGAGTTAACCCAACACTGATGTAGAAGCAGAGGAAGAAGAAGCCCTTGTGCCATTGCACACTGTACTCTTAAGCAAAGAACATTAATCACAGATACAACACAGATATTTCCTCCCTAAAAGTTGAATTATGTAGCAGTGTGATTCCAAGAGGGAGATTAGCTGTATTCAGTGCTTCACACTTGTGCAAAGTGATACGTATAGTTAAAAAAACAAAAAAACAAATAAAAATAAAACATAACAGCAGTTTAACTTCCTTGGCAAGAAAAAGCCGAAATGCAAATAATAACCCTGTAATTCATCCGATGCATCTTTTATGCAGATATTTAAACTTTCCCCCTCATTTGATGAAACGTGAGAGTACAGTCAGGTGCGAACGGTATTCCAGAGTAATCAGGAAGTAAATGCTATCTGTAGCTCTCTGTTATGGCCCATTTTGGAAAAAAAATATATATACATGTAACAATATGCTGTGAGGAACTGTAAAACAATGCTAGACATACTGTCGGGCATGTGCGACAAACTTCACTGTACAGGAGCTTTGTTTCCATTGACACTGAAAAACAAAGCTGTGGCCGCATTAATAACATGAACAGGCTTTGGACACGGGGGAGATCAACATTTACACTAATGGATGCAGCTTTATACACAAATATGCTTTCCGTTATATATCCTTTACATCTTAGAAATGTTTGTACATATTCCACAAAAGGTACTTCATTTATACATTCACCCTACATCACTGTCAACAATAGTCTTGCATGATGAGATGAGATGGCTTTAGTTATTACACTTTAAATATCTGGACTGATCAGTGCTGACAGGACAAACACATCCATGTACATAATGGAGTGACCATTGTCACCATGGTCAAAGGGCTTTAAGGTATGCGGTAAGAGGGAGTAGCTGGCTAACACAAAGTTTTGCATAAAACCTGCTGTAGAACTGTTCCCACATGAACATCATGGCCTCCCTCTGGGTAACGGTGTTGTGCTGTGTGAAAAATCTGCTAATTTGTAATGACCCTGAGAGCTCAACAACACGCAGCAAACGGCATGATTGCAAATTCTTTCAAGCTTTGGCATTGCTACAGATCAGATAATTTAGTTTGTGTTCATAGTAGCGACAGGCCGAGACCATAAGATTGAATGAATATTCAGAAAAATGCTTGACACAACACCCCCGTTGTATTCATGCTGTCTTTCTGTGGAGCCAACTGAATCAGCTGTTGTTATGTCAACTTAGCAGCAGCATCCCCAGTAATGGCTACAGCAGCACAAACAACTTTAACATTCAAAACACAATTACACTGAAGGTTTGGAAGCTGATAAATGTTCTCTGTTGGTGCTGCTAATTTATGCTCTATGGTACCGGACCACTAAATAGAACAGATCTGACTTCCAGTGCATTGCAAATACGTTTAGGATTTTTTGATTTTCTTCCCACAACAGCAAACCACGACATGTAGGCAAATCTGTCTTCCCCAGGCTTTAGTTTCCACTGCTTTCCTAACTGCTTTCCATCTTTGGAGCGGCGCAACTCTTATTTCACACCTCACTCCTCTCTCAGAGCTCTGACGTGTAACCGTAAGCTGCTTCACACAGCTTCAACCCCGACAAACACACACAGTGAGCACGATGTAGTTGTGATCGAGCGGTGCATACAATGAGGGTTGATCACAGCGGCCGTGCACTTATGAGGGATACAAAAGCATGTATGAAGAAAGCAGAGGAAGATCATGGCGTAGCCGGGACAGAAGCAGACGATATGCTCAAGCGTTAATGGAAAGGATTTTGTCAACAGCCCGCAGAGAAACATGAAACCAGCTCATCAGGCTAATATAGATGGAGTTGATGCCAAGGAGACACAGCAAGAGAATGGTTCTGCTAAACCAAACCATTCTGGCTCCCCTCCTTTCATAAGGTGCTGCGTTAAGGGCCTCTGCTTGCCCATCTCTATCCCTCCAGCCTCCCCCCACCCTTTTTTAGAATTGCACACTGGCCCTTCGACCTCTCCCACCCCCTCTAGAGGTCGATGAGCTGATCCACCAGCAGAAGGGAGCGGGCCAAGTTGGGGATGCTGGACTCTGAACTGCCACTGTTGCTGCGCGAGTGACCACCTGAAACGTGCCAGAAAGAAAGAGAGAAGGGAGAAAGAGATGGGCATGGAGGAGCCGAGGGAGGTTGTGAAAAACAAGCAAAAGAATAAGTCATTTTAAGAGGGTTGAATGGAGAAATAAAAGTAAAGAGATGATGAGGATGAGGGGAAGTCATGGCAGAGCAGAAAGATGCATGAATATGGGCAGAAAGACAAAGAGGCAGAGAGTGAGCTGGGATCATCTTTATACAGCTGAATCATTATATGGAGAGAAAGGGATCGCCATTCTAACTGAGAAGACTTTCAAGAAATATTCTGAGCCAAAGACCGTCAAGTGGAGAAGCCCTTAAAGTCTAACATTAGGAACACGGGAGAGAAAGACGACTAATGTGAGAGGTTGATGGGATAAAGAGCCTTGATGAGACAAGCACTCCCATACAAGATTTCTCACATTAGCAATCAGAGAAATGAGAGACGGTGACAACAACGGGGGCTAAATCAGTCAACTTCGTGGCTCAGAGTCTGGGTTTTAGCACGTGGAAATGCTCATCTCAGAATTCTCTCAGCCTTACCTTGATTTGAATTTTTGGAGATGAGCACGGGAATAGGGTCAAACTCGTCATCATTGCCCTTCTCCCCACACGACATGAGGAAAGCAGAGTCTGCGGTGAAGGAAGAGGAAGTGAAGTAATGGCGGAAAGGGGCAAGGAGTTTATTCAGCCAAAGAAAAAAGAGCAAAATGAAGGCAGGAGGCCAGCAGAATCAAAATAGGTAGGACTAGGGGAGCCACAGAATTGAAATGCTATTCGTGTTGCTTGGCTTTTGGCGCTTGGACAAACGAGTCAGGGATCTGCAGAGGCTGTCATTTACAGCCGATCTGAATTTCCATGCAGCTGCTCCTTTTTCCCCCCCTTTTCTTCTGTGAACACGCATTTCTGTTTTGAGGTTGGTGTGCAGTCTGTAACGTGTGGCAAAAATGCCCAGCACACATAAAGGGGTGGGGGGGGGGTCTTACCCGAAGCAGCCTGAACAGGTGGCAGCTCCTCCAGACAGGATCCAGAACCACAGCCAGGAGGAGTAGAGGAGTAGGAGGAGGAGCAAGGGAGAGCAGAAACAGACTGGTTTCCTCGAGAAGTGTGAGATAACAGATCGCAACCCAGCAGAGAGTCCTCTCCAGAGAAAGAGTCTGAGACAGCAGAGCCAGAAGAACAGGAGGTCAGACTGTTAGCACGAGAAGCGCAGAAACAGGCATTCTGTTAGTAACACAATTGCGGATTTCAGAGTGCAAGCTCCTGATAACCCAAACGGGCTACACGGCAGTAAATGTGCATCCAAAACTGCACGTCTGTCTCAGCTAATAACGGTCAGTACTGAGGAATGTAGAATACGGCATTCATAGAAAGAAAAAAAAAACAGTATGACACTTAAAGTCTTAGAAATCCTCAGTGGAAAGGAAACTTCATAACTTGGCAACGCTTGGGGTATGATTTATATCTGGGACTTTGTTAAAATGTCCTATTCTGAAGGCCCAGGATGCTGACCTGGCATGCTGGCAGAAGTGTGATCTGACTGGCCCGAATGTCGCTGGGCCTGGGGAGCTTCCAAACCAGGGATCAGCGAATCCACACACATGTCTGCGTTTGCTATACAGACACAGAAGGGGAAAATAAAAGAGCCAATGGCTGTTAGAAATATAAAGAAAAACACATCCCTCTAGTGGGGCTCAAATTTGTGAAGGACCTCTTTGCTCCTTTCCCACTTAGAGTTCTTTTTATTAGGTGAGAGGGAAGCGAGAAAGAAGACAAGGAACATACATGCATTGCAAAGGAAGAATTTATGGGACACAAAAATAGAGCAGTGGTGCAGCTGCAGGCAGAATTATTGAAGGAGACAGAGAAAGTTAAGAGGTCATAAAACAGCGGTTGGATTCCAGAGTACTTCAGTTCCTCAATGAGTGAGCCAGAGAATGACAAAAGGACACATGCAGCATGGACGTATGGCAACAGACAGAGACGGCCCATTCAGCTGAAAATGGAGGCATAAATAAAAAGCTATTTTAAAATATAACATGTGCAATGACAAAAAAGGACATTTTCACAGTGCCAGTCTGACAGTAGGGAATCAGGTGACAGTGATAGCAGTAACAAAGCTGTTTCATTTTGAGCCTGAATCAATGTGCCTACGTTTCTCTGGCTAATTCCAGTACAAATCCGGTTCTACTGAGGACATTTATTCAGCACACCTATCTTTGCACATGGACAACCTACCAAGCTCTCTGCTCATCCAGAATAAAAATGATTTACTGCAACATCATTGAAGAATTACTGCAGGACTTGGTTAGTTATTAATTTTGCTGAATGCATCGACACACCAAGAGCAACCTGTTAATTCAAGTCCAGTTCAAACGTTAACATGGGCCTTCATCATCCTAGCTGAGTCCTCAAACCATTTCTGTAAGGCTCTGTAAGCACCTACCATTTAGTCAGTGCAGCTCATTACAACAGTCACTCTTAACCTTTGTGAAACTGGCCTCACTGTAGCCCATCATAAAGTCCTATTTTCATAAAATGCAGCACTGCTGTTATTAGGAGAACAAACCCTGGATTTGAAGTACACTCCATGCACAAATATCATTATTACTAACTGCTGCTTATACTCACAATGAAAGTGCTATGTGGCAAATGGGGTTTGGAGGGGATCTGAGATGAGGAATGTGTCGGCTCAGAAAATGGCACAGCAGATGTGACCTTTGGCCCCTTTCACTACTGCAAAGAAGCCACAACTGATGAAGATTTCCACAAGTCCGCAATTAAAAAAAAAAAGATAATCCTTTTTAAAGATTCTTTTCGCCGTGGCACCCTAAAGTTGTTCGGTGTATTTCCCTGTTGTATCATCAAAGGTGAAACTCCGGCTGCTTGTGTGTATATTATCTGGATGGGTGATACAGTCAGACACATAACTAACAAAGGGTACAGAACCAGACCCTTATTAGGTAATATACTCACATTTTTCTTTTCACAAAACAGACCTTAAATGGCAGTTCCACACTTGGGGAATCTACAGGTCTGGGTTACCATTTAACAAGGCAGCATGCTCAACTTTCTCTTGCTCTTAGTGCCACTTGTAGATAGGCTCCTCAAGCAGCAGAGCAATCCAATTAACAGGGAGAATTTGTCCTTTGCGTTACTAGGCAACAGCAAAAGCACTGATCTGCAAGTGAGATGGCGTCTATCTGAAGCTAAGGTGTTTATTCATGGACACTGACTAGAAGCCACTGTGTCACTGCTTGCTATGTAAACAAGATAGGACTGTGTTAAAATCCGAGCAACAAAACAGGCCCTTGTAAAACAACATCTGCGTTGTGTGATATCCAGGAAATTAACCCAGCAAACACAAACTGACTCATAGGTTAGCAGGATATGTTTCTGAGCCCTAAAGGCCTAGAGTAACCAAATGCTTCGCGTGCTGTGCATCATAACATGGCAAAAAAATTACCTGCTGTGTTAGACAGTGAGAGGGGATTAAACGTGTCCGGGACAGTCAACACAGCCGAACCAGCGCTCAAGATGTCTGTAGAGCTTTCTGCTTAATATCATTAAAATGAATAAAAACGGAAGAGAACAAATAAATGACTGAGAGCTAACACCATAGAAGAAAAAAAAAAAACTTTGCAGTGTAGGAGGACAGGAAAAACAGCAAACCTTTCCAAAACCGCTAATGATTCATGAAGACAGCAACACATAAAGAGCACAAGATCCAGCAAAAATGGCTAAACTTCCTCACTTTAAAAAATATTACATACAAATGCAGAGAGAACCATCAGCTCGAGTGTAATTAACACTCTGAAGAACTGCCAGATATAAAGAAACCAGAGACCCCATGAGAGGAATTAAAGAAAGATTTACCTGGAAAAGCAGTGAGGTCCTGAATAAGACTTTCACTGGAACCTGTGACTTTTTCTCCTGTTTCAGCAGCTGTGTTCAAACCAAAATATTCTCTTAGCTCAAACAATTGAAGTATCGGCTGAGATAGTGGAAATATGTAGTGGACAACTCACTTTCAGCTAGCCTTGCAAAGTCTTTGTTGAGCAGTTCTTCTGCTGTTAGCTTCGAGAAGTTATCATCTCCAAAAGGGTTCCAGCTGGGCTGAGGGTTCGAAGCAGCAAGACTAGACGGCACATCAACACCCCCTGGATGATACACACTCTGTTGGGATGAGCAGGGGGAGCCAGACGGAGTGGTGCTGGCAGATCTACGGTACAAAAATAAACAGTAGTAGGAGCGCATAGTGAAAATGGACAGAAGAGAGACGTCTGTGAGCAGTGGTTTACAGATGTATGCAAATAAGAGTGAATGAAAAGGGTTATTTAAAACCTGAACTGAGTGATTATTTGTGAGATAAAAGGGAGGTTTGTCCTAGTGCCATGTTCTTCCACATGAATGGACTTTCTGTACACTTTCCAGCTTCATCCTGTGCCATGAAAGAACAGTTCATCCTGAGATCGCTGAAAGGAGTTAATTTTACTCACTTGGACTTGTTCAGGCTGGCCTCAGCTGCGGCTGCCTGAAGTAGCAGTGTGGATTTGCTGACTGGGACCCCAAACACGGCACTGTGGGTGACATCGCTCAGGATTCTTCTGTGGCCGCTTTTAGGCACCATTTTTGGTGATGAAGGAGGTGTCAAGGAACCAGCTTTGGAAATCCCTCTGCCAACCGTCTGTAATGAGAAGATATGAAGGGAGAGATTTAAAAAATGTAAGGTTTGTGAAATAAATATGTGCTTTAGACTTAGCACACATCCTATTCTACAATTATATAAGTAATAAGAAAATCCGACCCCAAACATAAGAGGATGGAAACATAGGGGAAATCATGTGGGGTGGGGGGTGGAATGAATTCAAATCAGTTCATGCTGTGAAAAAATGGCAATCAATGATGGCAAAGAAAGTCAACTAAATGACTCCAAAGTCTCACAGGAAAGTTTAAACATCTTTCATGATTTACATCAAATCTTTTTTTTTTTTAAATTGCCATCTTAAAACAAATCGCCAAATGTTTAAAACAGTTATTGAAGTTATTGAACACATGTCTGTATACATTTCCTGCTCATTATTCCCAAAGAAGAGGAGAGGAGAGAAAATGTGAGTATGATTCGTTAGAGATGAGCTACCAGTCAGCCCCGACCAATCAGGCTGCAGAAAGCAGCAGGAGTACGATGTTACCACAACCTCTGGGCCAGCTGCAGGACCAATGACAGTGGACTCTGGGATGGGTGTGAGGTGAGATGTTGCTGTTTCATGGACTACCTGCAGCTGGTGATGTTGCAGGCCTTGTAGTTGATGCTACGTTGAAATACCACACAGCCAATTATGAGCAAGGCTCAGTGTCAAACTACGTCCAAAGCAAAATATGTTTTTGTTTTGATATAGTGCTTGTGAACAGATCTAACATGTGGGTGAAAAAATAAACATCATATCAGACTAAGAGCAGCCCAGCTCAGAAATTCATGGAAATCCATTTGGTTAATCAATAGCATGTTAAAACGAATTAAACATTGTAAAGCATTACAGAATTATCCAAAATTACATGTTAGATTTCCCAGCAGACAATGTAACCAAGCATTGTTTTTGTTTCGGGAGGATTCCTACCTGCTGGGTACTTAAAAAAGGGGGGACTTGCTGCTGCATCATGAGGAGCTGCTGGTGCTGAGGTGTATGATGAGGCTGGATGCTGGCTGCCTGTACTGGCTGTGGAGCAATCTGAGCAGGAGTGTGTTGAGCCGGTTGGACAGCTGAAGACGGGACACCGACACCAACACCTGGAAGGGAGAAACAGATATCACTCAATGAGTATAGCTCCTATAACAAATACTACTCAGAGTAAGACCATGGAATGGAATAATGTTGTAAATAATGTGACACCATGTCACAGTGTATTCAGTCTTTGAAAAGAGATCAAGCATGTTCTTTGGTTAGAATACTGCTACAATAATTGTCAGGCTCACTGACTGTCCTTCTACTTGTACCTATGGCTGACGGTGCTCCTGTAGCCACGCGAGTCTTGCGTGGGGTGAGAGCTGGCTGGATGGGAAGAATGCCCGATATAGGCTGAGGCTGTGCCTGGCCAGCTTTGGGCCTTTGTCGAGGTGCAATTGAGGTTTCAGTTGTAGGGACTGGGTCTGTGATCCTGATGAAGAGGAAAAAAGAATCAACAAAGTGTATTTATTAAGATAAACCTCAGCTGTTTTACTACTCACTTACCTGGCTTTGGTTTGACTCTTTTTGATCACAGCTTCACTAGCTCTGATAGGCTCAGGGAGTTTTGCAGGAATGGGTGAATTCTATAAAAGTAAGAAGCTTTTAAATGACTCAAAGGAAACAAGTCTTTGTTTCTTATCAAACATTCCGCCATTTAGGTCAACCTACGTGTAAATTTGGGACGGGACACTCTCGCCGAGCCAGTTTAAAGGCGAAGTAGGATACTTGGTAGATGTCTGGCCTCTTATCCGGGTCAGGTTCCAGCATATATCCTGAAACAGTAACATACAGGGCACATTTAGTTTGAGTCACACACATGAAAATGTTGTTATACTCAAATGCAGATATGTAGGATGATTGTGAATTAAATAGGACTTTGACAAACACAATTACTCACTAATGAGACAGTGCATTTCTTGGGAGTAGCGGGAATTGTCCGGGATGGTGAAACTGCCATCACAAATGGCCACTTGACTCTCTCCAAAAGGAAGCGTGAAGAAGCAGAGCTTATAGAGGAGACAACCCAAAGCCTACACACACACCGAACATGTCACTTATTATTGTCATAATGAGAGTGAATGAATCCAATCTTACATGCGGTTTAAACCTAAGACTCACCCAAATATCTGCCTTTGTTGTGATGACCACTCCACCATAGAGGTTGACCATCTCTGGAGCACGGTACGACAGGGTGGTGTATCTGAAGTTCACAATGCAACAGTGAAGCCTTGAATCTCGCAGAGTAGGTAGAAGGCAATAATGACAACAAAAGAAAAACTTACTTTTTAATGTCCTCCTCCACGACTGCCACCCCGTCTGTCTGAGGGTTCTGAAAGCGGTTTGTGGCACTTCCAAAATCACAGAGCACGTAGTGTCCTCCGTCGTGCAGCAGAACATTTTCCACCTGAATTAGGTTAGTAGGAGGAGACTTGTGTCATCACTATGAGGATATTCAAATAATTAATGTAGCGATCAATTCGCTGGTAACTTGCAAAGAGAAGTAATGGAAATACGAAAGACAGGCCCACCTTCAGATCTCGATGGATGATGGGAGACTTGCACTGATGAAGACGACTGACAGCCTCACAGGTGTCACAAAAGATCTGTAATACTTCAGCCTCAGTGAAGCCGCTCTGTAACCGTTGGTTCATCAGGTTTACCACCTGCCCACCTACACAAAACAATCAGGTCAATAATTTTTAAAAAAGACTCTGAGACAGCATATTGTTTGTTCAGATCGTGTTTGTTTTGTAATTTGGTGCCAGTCAACATGGTACAGCTAAAAAGAACGGAAAAAGCTTTTTTCACACTATTGCTTTCATACTGTATGACAACTGATAAAGCCTAGAGAATTAAACAGCATCAAAGAAACTTTCTGCGGTCATTTTGAAATTTCTTAATGGGTTTACCTCTACAGAAGTCCATTAAAATTAGGACTTCCCACACATCCCCAGTCCCAACGGCAGTTATGCTCGAGTCCAGGAAACCAACAATGTTTTTGTTGCCCACAAGGTCTCTCTGTGTAATCAAACAAAAACAGAGCAACAGTAACAAATAAACAATATTATATTTACAGTTTCCCAACTACAGAACACACTAATGTTGGCAACTATTCAATTGAATTTTTAACTTCTGAAAGTGAAAAGTTACTGATAACAATCCACTAATGGCCATGGGTGTGTCTGCAGGAACTAGTTATTTTCTCATGCAAAGAAGGCCTCCAGCTAGGAAATGGAGAGACAAGTAGGCTCAGATGGGTTTATCCTTTCTAAAAAACAGAAGGCCATGTACAACAAGAAACACCGGTTACAACTGCACCATGAGCGCCTCTCTTTTATCACCACTAAGTGGAAAATCAGGTATGGTAAATGTTTGCCATAACATTTGGTAAATATGGTAAAACAGTAAATGTTTGCATTTGCTTTTGTTTGCATTTTAAGTGTGCCATTATGTGTGTGTAAATATAGTATCTGATATTCAAACTTTAACCAGCCCCTATTGGCTTCATTCGCAGTAGTCACTTGTTCTTACTCACCATAATCTGTATCTCAAGTTTGCATATTTGCAGATCATGCTCATTGTTGACATACATTCGTTTTAGTGCACAACGCTGGCCCTGATGTGTCCGCACCAGAAAAACTATGGCAAAACCTCCTGTACATAGAAAGAAAATGAGAAAGTGAGAACAAATTAAATAACAAAAAAATCAACTAAAGACCATCACTCAAACCTATTATCTAAAAAGACATTCTGCTTCAGAGAATTTCTTTATTTTTACATTTTAGCCATGATGGATGTGACATCACATAATATCAGTAGTTACAAAAAAAGAAAAGAAACAGGAGAGTTTGGTGCTGACTGATGTCTTAAAATACGGTCTGAGGGAACTTTGGTACTTGACATGTGACATACTGACTGTACATAGCAAGGGTTAGCCTGACAGTTGAACCCCGGCTGTTTTGTCATCTAATCTGAGTAGCATGTGAGAAAGTAGCAGGATTAGCAGCTTTCTTAAGCGACATGCAGCAAAGGTCTACAATCTTAGGAGACTGTGTGACCAAATGACTAAGTACATCCACAAATAGCCACTGCTTCCTGACGTCACTGATTATCAGGATTATACCACTTGCTCATGCACACATGTTCAAGCAAAAATAGCATTAAAAATGCATTCACTTTGTGTTGAAAGATGCTGTGAATTATTATGGTGGTTGAGTCCCTCTATGTCCCTTTACCTCCTGTGGTTGCCACAATTTGTCACCACTGTAAAATGGACCTTACATAACAACAGTATTGGCTTGGGACTAACACAATATCACATGTTCTTACTACTACTATACTGTTTACAAACAAGTACATAAGAGTAAATGACAGCCTAAAATAGCAGTATAGATCCATTGTAGTCTAAATAAAAGTATCTTATTTATCAGAGTATCAGAGTGTTTTCCCTTTTACCACATGGACAGTTACCATTTAAAAACGAGCGGATGACACATACCAACATCGCAGCAGGAACTGGGTACACTAATGTTACCAGCAGTAACTCTATACCGACACCAGAAAACATATACAACAGATAGCCACAGATAGCAAATCTATCAAATGGCAGTGTCATTGAAATTTTTGGGATGGATAAATGACAAAAAACGGAAAAAACAAGACAAAGAAAATTGAATAAAGGTGTTGAAAGCATGAACTAAGGATGGTGTCTGATTTTTAGGAAATGTTTTGTAAAAAAAACATTACAAAACAAAGCAAAGAACACAACAATGGCAACAAAGGGAAGAGGAAATGAAAAGAAACATCACAAAAACTAATAACACCAATTCTAAAGTATGACGCCTCACTCATTAATAAAACCAGTGTGACAAAAAGATGGGACACATCTACAGGATAGTGCTGATAAATTAAACAGTCCATCATGAATTATTTATTTAAAGGCCCTCTGAGCTAACAAAGCATGGTAGACAAGACCATGAAAAATGTTCTGCTGCCTCTCAGCAAAGCCATGTTAACTTTGCTCTGATAAAATGAGCTTTTAAAATAACTATTGGTTTCCATAAACATTTTTAAGGCACAAAATTAATTATTCGTCGAGTTTAACATGAAGTTAACCAACAAATTGTTCATTTATAGAGAGATTGTGGGCCCCAGTAGTTTGCAGTGCAGTCAATTAATGTAACCACCTGTTAGAAAGACACTAAGCAGCCTTCTAACAATTTTTTTGGTCTTCATTAGTCACTGAAATCCACATTTGAGCGGAGATGTACAGGTGAGTCAGCTTGGCTCTATTCATAGCATAACCTCTTTTCAATAAAGTGGAAAATCAAGTTATATCATATTCCACCCCGCCTTCAGGTAAAGTCTGAAACAATGTACAAAGGTGAATATCAAGCCATTTGACTCTAACATACAGCAGACCTTACAATGACATTGCATTGTGCCAGTAAATCTGCCATTCTTCTCCAAAATATCTTAAGATTTGACTGTCATGCCATAAGGTTATTCTAAATAGGACAAAAACAAAACAATAGCAGGCCCAAGCGTTAAACTGATGTTAATGATCCATCTAAAAATATCATTGTGTGGAGCACTTAAGGAGATGTTTGATATATATGCAATCCACAGAAAGGAGAGCCAGGTTGTTCACCTTCTGCGATGATCTCCTCGACGGTCACTTGATATCGTCCAATGCTGAAAACCCGTCCGATGAAGCTGCCACCACCACCAGAACCAGCGACCCCTCCACCGGCTCCAGAACCAGGCCCAGAGCCCGCAAACTCCCGACGAGAATCAAAAAATTTCTTCATTTCCCAAGGTGTTATCCCAAGTGGGCCCTAATCCAAAAGGTGACTATCAGTCAAGAAAATGACACTAGTTTGGTATAGTCGAATCCCAGTCACTGAAGTACGGGTGCTGCCGCTGCAGCCTTTTCAGTCGGTTCCCCAATAATTGAATGAAAGCAGTGAGATAGCTTTAAGCTAAAAGCTAGCTAAACTAGCTAAACCTCAAAATATAACAAATACTGCTGCCAGACGCTTCCGGGCTAACTCATAACTCGAAGAATAGACGCAGTCTAATGCTGCTAAGAAGTCGCAGTTTTCCGCTCTAAATCGTGACAACACTGGCTGACTAAATTAGCCAGGCTGTGAGCTTTAAAAAAAATCTCCTATTAGCCGTTAGCTCATCCAGCTAGCTAGCTGGCTAGCTCAGCTAAGCACCTAGATGACAGCTGTCAGTCGACAAACTGGCAGCCAAGAGGGTCCTTGGTATCCAAAACAGTTTAGCACACATTTCCCCTTATATCTTGTAAGTGAACGGTCTCTTAAATTCCTGCTGTGTATCGAGCTGGCAGATAGCAAATTGCCACGGTCTCTGTGCGTCCAGCCGGTTGTTAGAAAGTTAATCAAGTGCATTAACTTAGTGACAGAGCTAATGTAGCTATAGCCGACGAGATGCTAGTAAGACGAGTCCCTTCTATCCTGCTCCTGTCTAGGTTGCGTCTTTGCAGATTCTTCTTCATGTGATTGGTCAAATCCACAACTGCTTCCTGTTAGGTCTGGTAGCCACTACAACCGCTCTCATGACCTGGCTACGCTTGTTATACCACAGTTCGCCAAACCAAAACGAAGAAATCGTGATCTTTTTCGTTAAATTTCAATCTCTATTTTTCCACGGGAAAAAGACAAATGACATTGGTTAATTTTTTTTTTTTTTATGAATTTCTCTTGGCAAAGCCACTGTCCTGTCACATTGAGGCACAAGTAAATACCGGGAAGTTCACCTAATTGCTTTGTTTAAATGTTTTGTGCTCACTTTTTAAATGGTGAGCAAGTTTAACTACTGATATAATGCAACATGTCATTTCCAACAGTTTCTCCGTCTTATAATTTATATTATTTTTAATGAGTGGATGTAATTTCAATGGGGCATCATTTCATTGCCACTAGCCTCTACATTTGAAAGTGAAGAATGAACCTTTATCAGCTTCACTGTATGGTATGTTCTGCTTTGGTATGCTTTGAGAGCATTTGAATAGATGATGTGGTCATTTTAAATATATATGAAAGAAATGGAAAAGATCCAGAGAATGTCATGAATATTATATGTATTCAAACTAAATCTATAGAAGGTTGTGCTGATAGTAAATTGAACAGCTAACGACAGTTTTTACAGCATCAGATCTAAGTGAGTTTATATGAGTTTATATATATCATTTTTGGAGAGGCTGTGGCTCAGGGAACAGGAATTACCTGCCAATGGGTGGCTTGGGGGTTTGAACCTGGGCTCCATGTCCAGGTGTCTTTGAGCAGCCTGCAAATGCAGCCTCACACAGGGCACAGTGTTCTTTGTCCTGTTCGTGCTGGTCCCAAGCGAGGGTTGAAAGTAAAATCTCCTGCCAAACCAACCATGCAGGTCATGCCTGACAGGAAAAGCCGAAAGGCATCAACAACTTCTCTTTCTGACCTGAGTGCAGACTTGCTGACATTGTTTATTTCAGTCTGGTTGCTGACAATTTTCTTGTAAAGATTCCGTAAGATTCCATAAGTTTTGACCAGTGCTTTTACATAGATATTTAAAACGTTAAGATCTTATTAATCAATATAAAATGCTCTGAAATAGACCATAAAGCAGGGTGGGAGAGTTTCTCCTGCAGGGGTCACCGTTTCCTCATAAACAGAAGCAGGGCAGATCTTGTGTTTTATGTTTGTTTGTTTTTGCAGATCTCTCCATCAACTCTACTAAGGTTGACTCAAGAATAATATTTAGTAGGTAGCTCTCATCTTGATGCAAGATATGTGTCCGAGTGTTAATGTTTTTCAGGTGAATCAAAATTAAACTGGACAGAATTGGCACAAACCAGCAGGAAGTAACCTTCTTTTTTTTCTAAGAAGTCCATTAAATATCGATGGGAAAAAAAACATCTGTTTATGACTCTAACAGTAGATAAACTACACAACAGCTCAACAAAGAAATGGACACTTCTTTCATGATATTTCCTAACATTCTTCTTTGACATCGTGTGTATGTATGTTTGTTTACATAATGTAGCACATTCGTTCTGGCTGAAATCAATGTAGCCATGCTTTTAAACATGTGGTGACAATTTCACTGAAAATTAAGCCATTACACAATTTCAGCTGCTGAGCCATTTGTGCTCCATTGATAAATGACAATACTCTGATGCATTCTTTCCCCTCTGTGATTGTCTATGATATGCTAGATCTCCCCTGACCTGAAAGCTAAAAGAAAACACGCTTTGTTTTCATTTTGTGTTGTCTCCTCACAACTAAGACACCCCACCAGTTTGGTGTCTAGATTTAGGGCAAGCATTATGTATGCATACCAGTAACAGGGTCTAAATGTGTGTGTGAGGTGAACAGAGCGAAAGATCCATCATTAGAAGCACTAGATCTGCCTCTGTGAAAAGGGTATCATTAATTTTGACATCTAACGTTTTGGACGTATCTGCGTTTTGGACGATTTCATGTCACATCAGGAGACTTCAGAAGATTTTGAAACAGAAACGTCTTTCTCACCCCTATCTGAATCCATCAGCTGGTTTGAAAGGATAATTGTCTGCCCCTTAAAATAATCTATACAAATCACTGAGTAAACAGACAAATAAACAAAAAACAAACCTTAGGGGGAAAATCTGATTAACAAGCCACAGATCGCTATTTTTGGTTGAGTGTCATATAAAAGATATTGAATGCATAATATCCACTGAATCATGAGGGATATGAAAATTGTAATGGTAATCATACCAACACCAGCAAGCATGAATGAGAATAAAAGTGCGGCTTAATTTGCTGCTTCTCCTGAACTGAGCACTTACAGGTGAAATTCAGTGAATTATCTCAATGACCCCATATTGCCGGTTTAACTTGAATGTGCTCTTCAGCAATACATGTTCATACACACACAAAGTGAAACCACTTACCATTAATAACACGGTCTGACCTTACAAGGCATCAAGATGGCCTTTTTAGAGTTTAAAATGACCTTTCAGTATCTTTTGATTCTGCTTCTAGTAATGTCAGTGTGTTTTTCATTGTCTACTGTGTAACCTTCACAACCAATGACACATGAGCTGTGAGATAGCAACTTTAAAGAATGGTAGCTGCGCTGACTCTGCCTTGTGTGTGTAATTATGGTTATCTGCATGTGTGTGTGTGCATTTATAGATGGTTAGTTTCTCTAATCTCACTGCGGCTGATGAAAGACACTGAAAGACTCTGTAACCTGAATATGGCTAAAAACAAGCGCTGATTAGATGAAACTTGAATCTTGAAAAATATTCCAAGAAGCCACAAAGCTGAAAAGCAAACAGAGCGGAGTGGTCATTGAGAGAAATTTGTCTATATCAAATCCCAATAAATCCGGCAGAGGCCAAGTCCTGTAATGCTGCAGTTTATTTTCAAAAAACAAATCCCCTCTATCTGCTTGAAGAGGTGCTGTCAGATTCCCTCCTGTCCACTAATTTGTTTTGGCTTTAACTACTGTTTTAAAGAAGCTGATTATTAGACTTCTTGGGTGTGAGAGATAGAACCTACACACACATGAGAGCTGGGGTGCCCACTTCCACTCAGGCAGCAAAAACACTAAACATCTGGATCTCATCCCTCTGTTAGGGATAGCATGTCACCACATACCTGAACAAACTCTCTTGACTTTCATGGGGCTCAACAAAAGGATTCAAGCCCTAATTATTGCACTAATTTGTCAGAGGTGTAAGGATTTCCATAGATATGGTCCAAACTTGGATATTATAAAGACATTTGGGGCCCTGGAAGCCATACCGGTGTATTTTGAAAGAAATCTGGCTCCAGAATAAGTACTGACACTGTGCAGGAAAGTGCATCTTGAGAGTCAGAGGAAAAGTTTTCAAAAGAGAACGAATAGATCACCACCTCTGTGCCGTAGCCAGGTCCAGGTCATGGTTCACGTCATGAAACATTTAATCATTTCCATAGCATAGTCCCAGTACTCTGCCTTTGAGACCTCACCCTTCAGTCTTCCCTGGAACCACATGTTTGACTTCTTCTTATTTGTATTGTAGGAAAAGGTTGAAAAGCTCTTTAGTTTACTTTTAAATATTCAAATGCCATGTTAACTGGATGTCTCAATGCCTTTAATGCAATCTTCTCTACATTTTGTTTGCTTAATTTCACTCCCACTTTCACCTATGCTGCACCGAGTTAATTTCAGAAATAGGAAATAGGGAAATTAATCGTCCAGAAAATAAATTGAAAACAGATTTCCTCATTGCATTTTGATCTTGGTTGGGACACACATACAATTCCTGACACAAACTATTTTTATTTTCAACCTTCTTGTATTCAATCTAATCAAATTTGAATGTAGAGGCTTCTTTTCAATCAGGATTAATCAACTAATCTGTCGACTGTTGTGTCATCTTACTTGACAAATTGGAATTAACATCATAGTCTGGCTAGATTAATTGGATGGATGTGAAATTGTAGCCATGACAGTAAATAGTATTTAAGTAGCACAATCTGTAATGAGGTTGATGAGATGGAGTGCACATCAGATCAAAAACAAAATTCTAAAATGGTGATCCAACCATCTCACAATCAAAGACCAATGTATTTTATTAAACAAAAATTACACACCGCTGTTTTGAGCTCGCTGATTATTTCATAGACTCCAAGACTATGTTAACATATGCTCCAAAAACGATCAAAGAGCTTAGAGACATGCATTCAGTTCATACAATAAACTGAAAGTGCTGTGTATTGTTTGGTAAAAAAGAAAAAAGGCAAGGCAAAGAAGACTCCTCTCATGAGATGCAGTGATGCTGTAGAGGAAGTGTTTGTAGTGTCAATGCTGCACAGCTACAGATTCTATCGTAACTATTTACTAAACAGTACATATAAAGATACTGTATATTCACCTATCTATCTATCTATCTATCTATCTATCTATCTATCTATCTATCTA